AACATCATCATTACCATCATCGCTATCATCATCATCACCATCATCATTGTCACTATCAACACCATCATCACAAGTATCAATATCATGATCTCCATTATCATCTTCAAGATAGCAGTCATCCCCCCTGTAAACCATACATAAATCATATGTTTGGAGCCAGAAGGGCATCAACTCATATACTTTTACAGAGAGTGAACGCCCTTTTGGATCTGAAAAGACAACATGCCATGACTGGAAGAAAATACACAATCACCACTGGCTACACTGTTATCCATCATTTTGCTTTATTCTTGGAAAAATGTAGCTAAGTCTGTACACTGTACACATAACATTTACTTTAATACAGTTGACAAGTTTTCAAGGTTTTACCCTTCACACCACAACGAGACTGATCTTTAGCAATAACAAGACAATAGTGAACATTTTATTATTCATGAAGGTGACTTGGAATCGTGTTATTCGTCATAGATAAGTAGTTCAGTAAGTTCAATCAGGATTCTGCATAAGTTGATTATAACTAAGAATTTACAGGAATATAATTCAATTACTAAACACGTCAGCTTATATTTTGCAATACTGAGTTGGTTTTTAGAACATAACATACCTCTCTGTTAAGCTACCAAATGGAGTGACAAAGGTCTTAAATTGAAAATATTCACTCACTACCATCGATATAAGCTCAAAATCTTTGCTCTAGCCAATCGCTTTTTTATCACCGGTTTTCTAGCCGTTTGTTCGCTTTTTTTTTCTCACCCTTTAGTGTAAAGGAAACAGCTAGAGAGAAGCTAGAAACTACTTTTTAAAAATAACAACAGACTTGCCGTTTTGAAGCTAAAGTTCCTGTTTTATCAGTGTTCTGTAGCCATTTAAAACAGCGAGATTTGTGCATCTGTTGTTTACAACATATATAAATTCAAAGAAAATGTTAACAAAAGGGAAAAAAAACTGTAAAATTTGATTTGTGCACATAATACATTTACACAAGGGTTCTCATTAAAACTGAAATGCTTAAAGATTGATGATATTAACTTCCTCCAAATTGCCATATTTATGTTCCGTTTTAATATCAAATTATTACCTACGTCATTATCTTCAATGTTCCAATCTAATAACATGGTTCATTCGTATTCAACAAGGCAGTCATCGAATTTACATGTGGTCAATCCTCACACTACATTAGCCCAGAAATCAATCAGACACAGAGGTCCAGATGTATGGAATTCTTTACCTAATGATATTCGAAATATAAAATCAACAAACTCTTTTAAAAGAGCACTCAAATGTATTATCATTTCACAGATGTAAGATATTACTTACATTATAAACGCTTCGGAGTACAGGCTATCTGCATTTACCCCTTCCTACCCAGGCACTATATAGCATTCAACTAGAAAATAGAGAAGGAGGATAATACTTCAAGATCAACTTTTTACCACCATCCAAAATTAAAATTCAAGATCCTGCTGTATTCAAGGCTCATGTGCAACAGTATTTTCAATAGTATCGTTTTATTATTTCATGAGCACACCCAGCCCAACTGGTTTTACTCCATCGGTGTTGAGTCATTTTAATTCAGATTCGAATAAAAATACCCCATGTCATAATAGAAATCAGTTGAATAAGTAGATTCGGCATATAAACAAATATCACTGAAAAGACATGTGGTACTCGAGCAGTTAAAACACTTGACTGAAGGTGTGATAGGTTGTTGGTTGATCCCTGGCACAGTATATATGTCCTTAATGCACTTTATCTACATTGTCTCTCTCTACCCAGGTGTTAAAAGGGTACCTGTAACCTGGTAGGATGCGAAGGTCATTGCACTTTGCTCAGCATTGTGCATGTCTGTAAGATGGTGCCTGGCTGGAAAGCCCCCCCAGGGAGTGGAGAAAGTGCATATGTTGAGCGTGGACAAGCTTTAATTTGATGACCAGATGATAATATCTGTGAATAGCTTAGAGACATCAGTGATGTATTAATTGCGACATTAACCCAACATAGTATTCGAACGTGACAGCGATAGCTCCATCTATATACGACAAGAAGTAAAACACCCATTACAACTAAAATTGTGGTCGAAATAATCTTGAATTTGACAGTTGAAAGCATGAACTTGTGTGCAAATTAATCTTTCACAGAACTACTTTGTATTCATCTGCCTAGAGCCAGAAGGGTGTTAACACATATATTGTATCACGATGTTAATGCTTTTCTAGCTCTCAACAGACATTTTGTCTTTTCAATATTTGTATTTCTGTAAAAAGCACATTTTTTCCAGATGAATTTTACTTGTAAAGATGAATTCAGCTTATTTAAGCTACTCTGATTGAGCATGCAAACATCATTACTAATGGTTTTGACACTTTGGCAAAACTGAAAGGACATTAAAGGCACACAACAAAATATAATCAATTTACTATCAAAACATATCAGAGCAGCACTATTTCAGCCCCGAATACATTACATTCAACCACTATACATTCGATTATAGATATCCCATAAAATTCTATGATCATTTGTACAGACTAAAGTGCTATGTTCCCGTTTTAAGTAATATTTAATTAATATATATCGTACAAGTACTTTATAGTTAATTAAATTAAAAATTGATTACATTGTCCTTATAAGTAGATATCTTGATTTTCTTGTACATTCAGAAGTTTTCAGGGTTGTTACTGCCCATTCTATCCATTTAAGAATTTTTAAAATTCTAGTATAATCTTTGTTTGTGTGCGTGTGGGGGTAGGGGTCATTCTATGTTTTAGTAAGATGTACATATGAATCCTTTCCCCCTTTTTTGGTTTGGGGGGGGGGAGGGGGTTATTCCATGTTTTCGTTAAAATTCAAGTTTTTTAATCTTCTCAATCTACATAATTCATATTTGATATTTTTCTAAAATCAGAACAAATATCTTATAATTCTAACTACCTATTTTTCATCCATGTTCTTATTTTAGAATTACTGATACGCTCCTTAATTTTTCTTTACGAGTTTAACCCAAGCTCCATCACATGTCACGTCCTAACAATTTTTTTTTAAATTGGTCCAAATATTCGGTATCAACATGACTCATCTACTCCATACATTCAATCCAAAACATAACAAGCAAACAAAAAAAATAAAGAGAAAGACAAAAAATCATGCAGACTAAACTTTTTCTTTTCATTAATAGTATTTGCAAGCATTCATGTCCATCTGGACATCAAGCATCTTTTGATGAAACCATAAGTATAACTTCGCCAACGTCTCATGAAACGTGTTAAAACAATGAATACCGAGCCTGACACTACTAGGGCAGGAGTCTAGGCAAAATAAAAACTGAACTCCTCAAAAAATGTTCTGCAATTAGAGTTGATATTCAAGTTGAGTGTCGATATCTCTCTCTCTTGTTAAGAATAAGTGTTTCACAATCCCACTGTTAAAAAGTAGCACGCTGCATTTTACATTTCCTGGGGAATTTGCAATTAATTCCTAGGACCTCCAAAGTTCACAACACATAGACCTTTAATAACAAAATACTATTTGATCTGGATAAGCCACGTTACTTGTCAACGATGAGTGGTACATTAACGAATATCAAAGAGAAGTAAACATGTTCACTTCTTGATTACAATTGCCATATTCCCTGTAATTTGTTCATTATTTACAATAGAAATTGATAATAACAGAATTGTGAAAGGATGAATGGGCAGGTCAAAGGGCACCAATCACAACAAAAAAAATGCATTTCGTTTGGAGCCATAAAATCATCTCCAAATGATTTAGGATTGAAAAGGATGAGAGCTTATTCACACATGACTCAGTATATCGTCGGTGGGGTGACAAAACCTTGTATCTCAATTTTTTTTTTTTTTTTTTTTTTGAGATTTTGATCTTTTTGCATAATTGTGTACCTAATGGCCTACGACACCACCTGATAAATCCATGGAACGCCTCCTGTCTCGGTTCTTTCACAAATTCAACACAAAGGACGGTGTCACAGCACTAAGTTTATTGAGACAGGAAATGTTTTTGCGCTCTCCTGAAAATTCATGATTTTTGAGATACGAGGTTTTGTCACCCCACCGACGATATACTGTATCAGGTTTTGTTCTCCCCCTTAGTGTAAATGTCATTGAATGACAGGTAGAGTTAGAAAAAAAACTACTGCTCGCAATGTTCAAAGATCCCTAAGCGTACTCATTCATCTATGTGGGCCGATATATAAATGTGAGGCGTTCCACACTTATTCCATGTATTCTGCAGCTGCTTTTTTTGTTGAATGTTCACCGTGTGACATGGGAGTAAGGCATAAGGGGACAAAACGAAGTTAACTTGGATTTTACCACCACGCTCATGCATACAAGTGCACGATAAATCTAGTCTATCTTACCTTGTAATTATGACATTGAAACTTGCTTGATCTCTTCACAGGTCTGATATTCAAAGTGGATATCTCAAATATGGTATACCAGCATGTAAGCCAAGACACACAGAGTAAAATATTTTTGTGATTGGTCCTTTTTTAGTCTATAAAACTATGTTTTCAATCAAAAAATAAAATCATGGTTTAAAAATGAACTTACAATTCAAGATCAATTATAATAAAGCAAACAGAATTAAAGGAATAGTGATATCATACAGAATTACATCAGTACAAAACGGCTAGAAAAAAATGTTATAATATGAATACATTTTAAGAATTTACAACATCTGAGTAACAAATGTGGAAAGCATTTTGGACAGTATAAAAACAAGCACAGACTCTTACCGTTTTGGAATGCTTCTTAAGGGTGGTGAAATATGTTCTTTGTTTGCATACACTATTAGGACTCATATTTCATTTCACTTCCAGTATCTTACAATTAGTTTAGTCATAGCAACAGAATACAAATTAAAGTGTGCAGATCCCAAAAATATCATTTGAAAAGATCTATTAAGATGACATTCAAGGGTCTTACACAATGATACAGAGGAATTCAGCTCAATTTAAGCTAATTGATTTTCTCCTTTACATATAACCCATAACCTCCATAGACTACTTTCTAGGGCAGAAGAATTCAGCATCTGCAATAAAAACTTGTAAGTATGAACATCAGTTAGCTTACATGACAACAAGAGGAAAAAATTTAAAAGATATATTAAAGAAATACAGATTTTAAAATATTATTTCAGTGGATTTTCAATACAAATACAAAATATCCATTCATCCTTTCACAACACTTTTGAGACTAAAAACAACAACACATCTTTCCTGTGGAGATGGCCAAGTACTATACCGCCGGCATCTTGCCGTAATGAAGCGACGAGGATGCGTGGGGGTAGGATTTCTTTAAGCGGTACGGTTTACGTCTCCTCGGTCTCGTCCTGCGTTGTTGGACCTGATAGAAAAGGAATCCCATTACCAGAAGGACGCTGAACAACCCTATAAGAGGGATGCCCCAGAACTGGTCCAGGCCCGAGGCCGAGAGGTTCGGGTTGAACCCGCCCGGCCCGTGGGGCTCGTTTTCTTCCTTCATGAGCTGGGGCGCAGCCGGTTGACCATTGCGCCGGACGAGAGGGAGGAATGCCTCGGGAACGGAGAGGAGCTTCTGGTGCTTGTAAAGATTGCTGAGAAATGTGAAGGAAAAGATACAAATGAAAATAAATAGCCGACCAAATCAATCTGCTCATGAAACTTTCCTTTGTACCGCATAAAATCATATACTACTAATAAAACTAGAAATATCGCAATCTGTATTGCCGCGCAATGCGAATGTATCCCCCAGCAGTGGCAGCGATTTTGTGTTATCCTTATGTGGAAGGAGGGACAAAGATTCCCTCTCCTCTTTGTGAAACAAAAGGATGACGTAGAGATTGCCGCAAGTGGCTCAGACTACTGTCAAGACTAGGAGCAGCATCACCAAAACAATAGGTGTGTAGATCAGATTATGATGCATATTTATAGAAAATTTGAAAGAAATGTGATATGCATAGCGACACAAGATATTCCTTTAAATATGACCTTTGACCCTATAAGAGATGGAATACTGGGGGGTAGCAGCACCAAATTTGTGGAGGTCTAGAGTAAACTATAATGAACCTTAATACAAGCAGCATCACTAAAATCTATAGGCTTGTAGATTATACCAAGATACACCTTTGTTCAAAATTTGAACAAAATCCCTTTAGAAATGTGGCCTATAGAGCGCACACAAACAAAAATATGGCCTTGTACCCTATAGAAGGCGGAACACTGGGGGCAGCATCACCAAAAGTTATAGGTATGTAGATTATACCAGGATACACCTCCATACAAAATTTGAAAGAAATCCGTCAAGAAATGTGGCAGTTAGAGCGCACACTAGAGTGCACACAAGACATCTATCAAAATATGACCTTTGACCCTATAAAAGATGGAACATTGGAGGCAGCATCACTAAAATCTATAGGCTAGTAGATTATACCAAGATACACCTTCGTTCAAAATTTGAACAAAATCCCTTTAAAAATGTGGCCTATGCAGCGCACACAAACCATCCACAGAAATATGGCCTTGTACCCTATAAAAGACGGAACACTGGAGGCAGCATCACCAAAAGTTATAGGTATGTAGATTATACCAGGATACACCTCCATACAAAATTTGAAAGAAATCCATCAAGAAATGTGGCAGTGAGAGCGCACACAAGAATATGACGCGGCGGCGGCGTTACGCTGCTGAATCCAAAGTACCCCACCGGCATACTGCCGGGGGATACAATAATTTGGCTATAGCAGGAATTTGAGATCTTCTAATTTGTTTCACTCTGCATAAAAATATATCACTAAAATATCACTCGAAGAGAAAACATAGCATAGGCTTGTGCTGATATGACAAGAAAATATAAGAAGTGAATAAGTTCATCATCAACAATTGCAAACATACATACAATAACAAAACTAATAAGTAGAAGATAAATAAAACTGTGCAACAAAAGGCCAGTGGCATCATGTCTAGTTGTCTTACCTTGGTGCAGAGAAATTGAGTGGTTCTCCTATAGCCCAGGCCAGCTGGGGACAAGCAGGGAGGGGCCGTGCCCTGGGCTCCCCTAGATGAGCTTCTAGAACCTTGGAATAGCGGTAGAGGTGGTTGCCTGAGAGATGTCATGGAAAAGTGAGGCATTAAATAATCACGCAAAGTTCATGTAGAGATTGCAAGACTTCATAGCTGCCTGCCAGACTGAATCACAGTCTCATCTTTAGAGCTTAAATTGACACTACATTTTTCTGCTCAAGTCTCACGAACAACAAATGCTCTATGCTTGTTCATGATCATAATTTGAATTTTCAACTCCAACAAAAATGCATGTGGTCACGAGAACAAGTCCAGTACACTAATGACCACATCTAAATTTTTAGTCTATTTAATGATTATATCAATTTGCAAGCCATACTAGAGCTGGGATTGGACTGAAACATCAAGTAAAATAATAATAATAATAATAATAATAATCTTTTAAAGCTTATCTGTACTAGATTTTAAGAGGGATTAGACCACCCTGCAAGGTCACTGGACAGGTGGTTATCTCATCAATTCAGCTCTCAATTAACATAAGAAAAAGGGGATCATAGGGGACCAATGGTCACCGATTAGGCATTTTTTTCTCTATAGAGGGAGCAAGTAGCTAGAAGTAGGACAGTGTGGCTTTAAAGTCCACTCCAAATTTTATTAAGCTACACCGAAAATGGAAATTCTTTTTGCCCAATTGATTGTGAGCCCGGCAGCCACTGAGCAGCGCCAGATCGACGTTGCTCTATCCCTTCTTGTTGAACCCAAACAAGGTAGCAGCAACTCCCGTCTTGTAACATCTTTTGGTATGACATTCTTCAGATAGATTGTAAAATGAAAGACATATGGAATATAGCCAAGGTGGATTAAATCTCTTTCATTTATGTATGTTCGACCTAATACTCATGTTGTTTTTTGTGTGTATAATGCAGATTAAAAATGAAAATGTGATTTCATCTTTTGAACTAGTGCGACGTGACCATTTGATTTTTAATGGATTTGGCGCCTTACAGATCATTTTGGCGCCTAACAAACCTTGTACGTTAATATCATAAATATATTTGCAAGGATACAGAAAATAAATCTTTACCTTCCATCCTGGTAGGGAGGGTGTCTACTGGTGGAAGTGAGGTAGCTATACTTTCATGCTCAGAGAACATGGGGGAGAGGTTGCTATATGCCGTGTACTGAAGGAGTGTCTCAAGAAGCCAGTAACAGTCTGATGAAAAGAGAGAAAGCAATCATGAGAATCATATACGATATTCCATTCATGAATAATAAGCATCAGCTACATAATAACAAGTATAATAGTAGGATATGACTTTGCATATAACATATCGTCACCTTCTTAAAATAATGGCCTAAAAGTCACATTTTGAAGAAAATTATATTTTTGCCCTATTCATCTCTTCATGAAGCTATCCACCTTTGTAAAATGGCATATGTGCTGAATTGAACGTTGAATTAATGCTGCTTATACCCAGTATCATAATGGCCTAAATCAAGCGTGTGAATAAAACAAAAATATAAGTGAGTAAACCCACAGTAAATGAGTAACCTAATCCTCTTATGAAACATGAAGCATTACTTGTCCTTCATTAGGCATATATCTCCATACCTTTCTGTTTAAAATTCTGTTTGGTTCAGTTCTCTGTTTTTATCAAAACTTGAAAATACGACTAAGGCTATTATTTAAGAAGATGAAGATATAATATTGATAAAAGCTCCTCTGAATAGAGTTGAAATAAGTAACGCTTTCACCCAGCTATTTTCGCCTTTTTTGTACCGACATCCAGAAATCATGCTACATTATATGTATACTGAAAGCTATTCATCAGTTCAAAGTGCCAGCTTCTCTTTTATCTATTTTATTGTACATGTATATGGCCTGTGACCTGTTAAAACCTGTATTCAAATGTTTCTTTTGATACCATGCTCATATTGATCAAAGTTTTGTTAAAATCCTTGTAAAGGTTAGGATTACAACTAGGCCCATTAATACCAAGCACAATTCTAAAATACCTGAGGTGATACATCTACTCTGCGATGTAACAAAAATCGTGATTGTACTCAATTTTTCATGATAAAAATAGCAAATACCTACTCCTCAAATTTGTCTTCAAGTAAAGAAACCAATTACAAAACCAGATGGAACTTCGACTGCACGCAGTCGAAAATGATGCCTCCGTCATAGACCAATTTTACGAACCAAAACAGAAGACATTTTTCAAATTCAAGTTTGATTGTAATCCATTAACAGGTTCTCAGAATATCGTGATTACAAGCTATTTCTCATTCTCATATACATGTATGACCCTTTGATCTTTGACTTCATGACCCCTAAATCTACTCAGTTCATTGGCTCTGCAAGATACATACATGTCTTGAGTTTGATGGTAATCCATCCTTCGGTTCTAATGATAATGCGATCACAAGCTATTTTTGCATACATAATGAGCCCCATGACCTTTGACCTTGACCTCATGATCCCAAAATCTAATCGGTTCATTGCCTCAGCAAGATACATACATGTCCTGAGTTTCATGGTAATCTGTCCATCTGTTCTAATGATAATGTGATCACAAGCTATTTTTGCATACATAATGAGCCCTGTGACCTTTGACCTATGACTTTGTGACCCCAAAATCCAATCAATTAATTGGCTCTGCAAGATACATACATGACCTAAGTTTGGCCAGAATCCATCAATCAGTTCTTGTGATAACGTGATCACGAGAACGGGATGTACGGACGGACAACCCAACAACATAATGCTTCCGGCTACTTCGTAACGGAGGCATAAAAACAATTTTACTTTACTGTAAATATTTTTAAAAGCCACGATAAAACCCCCAACTCTGTTGGCCATCGGTCCAGACGCCGACCTACCCTGAGGAAAACAACTCCCGGGCATACTTTCTCCATTAAACCTCGAGCGCTGCATTCAGGACGAGTGCTCAAGAGTGTGGACCTTAGCTAAATGTTATTCTTTCAACAACCTTGAACCAGGGAAAAAATTAATATTTATTTTTCGGGGGCTACTTTTCAACCTTGCCTGCATGAAAATAACATTATAAAATTTGTTTTGTATTGAACTTAATGCAATTCTAAGGGGGCTCTTTTCTGATTTTTGGGGGCTCTTTGGGGCATTTCGCCCTGAGCCCCCCCCCTCCGTGTATTTTTTTTCACTGCCTTGAACAGCAATATATAACATTAATACTTTCGTCAATTGAGTTTGTCTATTGCGCCCCCTGTATTCCTTCTTTCCTCTTTCCTTTCTCCTCATCGGCTCTGCTCAATTCTTTCTTGTTTTCCCTTCCTAATGTATACCCTATACTCAAGAGGATTCCGGTTGGGGTGAACGTCTTGTGCATGCTTCAAAAAATATCAGATGAACTTTATAGGCTGCAGCTGCAGACTCGTGGCATGACATTTGATGAATCGAATGAACTCCATCAAGTGTTTCCACTACTAGAATGTCTCACAAATCACATAGATTGATAGGAAAAGTCTAAGTAGTCCAACTAGTAACATGAAACAAAAGATGTTAAGAAATAGCTACACTAACCTGTCTGCATGTGACTGGTGTCTAGACAGTTGGAATCCCCGAAGAGGACGATCCGGCCAGCGCTCTTGCCGTGCTGGAACATGCCCAGGATGGGGACATCCGATGCAGTCTTGGTCTCCCCTTTGAGGACCTCATAGCCCTGGTCCTTGAGGGAGGCCTGGATCAGAAGACCGCCTTCCGATGGGAACTTGACGATGCTGGTCCCCGAGGTATACTGGCCTGTCACATGGAAAGGAGGTAAAAAATGTTGGAAGTTTAGTAAAGCTTATTGAACCATGAATTAGATCTGCTGCCAATGACATGTGCGATCCAGCATTAAATAATAATAATGATATTTAATTTGTATATAGCGCTTAAAGCCCCACTGTCCTACTTGTCCCTCTACATGTATATAGAAAACTTCCCCAATCGGTGCCTGTTGGTCCCCCATGATCCTCTATTTCTTATGTTATTTGAGAGCTGGGTTGATGAGATAGCCACCTGTCAGTTACCTCGCTGTGTGGTCTAATCCATCCTAGCCACACTAGTGTTGATAAGCTTTAATACAAATGTCTCTAAGCACTTTACAAATATACTATTACCCCGGTCATTGGATTCAGTGCTTGCCCGCACAAAGAAACACTTTGAGAGAGGTTTGGGGGATATTAGTCATACAGAAAATCAAAGGTTATTTATTTGGAGGTAATAATATACTACTAGTACTATCCCAGTGCCACATCAATCATTGATAATTTACACCAATATATGTTTATGGGGCAAATTAAGTGGAAATTTGAAACATGATTTCGGATGTCCTGTGGAACAGGGAGGAATGACAAATGAATAATTACTCAACATAATATGGATGTGTTTAAAACTAAAGCTGCATTCTAAAGTCCCATGCTGATCAAAATTAATTTCTGGTTGGGAATATTTTATGTACACAAGGCAATTACCGAATTGTGTATCACCCCCCCCCCCCCCACCTTTTGAGATCATGAATTGATTAATTAATATGATTGTATTAGAATCTATGCAGTGTTTTTTTTCAAATCTGAACTGTATGTCTAACTTTTCATTGTTTTGCTTCTCTTTTACTCAGGTTCTCCTGGATTGTTTTAAAAATCCAATTTGAAACAATCCTAATCACATGTAAATGTGCCCAACATCAAGATGTGTCTTGGGTAGCTGCATGACGCATATTTTTTGAAAAGCCAGATGATACCACAAATTTTGCTGAGCCTCGTAAAATTCTAGCAATTTTGAAATTCAAATGTTGGGAGCTCTGCAACAGGGTGATTACAGTCAACTACATACTTGAACATGCATTTGACAACATTTCCGTTGGCTTACTTTTTCTCCCGCCGATGGAGAACTCTCCTTCAAACACCCCATCCCCAAATGCCATCCCCCATGGGGCTAGTACTTCATTGAGAGCTGGGATGTTACTGCCTCCTGTGTCCGGCATCCACCATTGTCTGTATAGGGGAGGACAAAGTAGGTATGTCAGACAATTTTAGAGGTAAATTAATTCAACATATTTCAAAGCAAAAGTATTGAACAATAATTGCAAATAATAACAATATATAGTTTTGGGAGAGGAAAAAAAAAGGCAAAGCAAATCTATTATTTATTTCTCAGACTATTTATAAAATGATGATCCTATACAAAGCAACTTATACTACAGTAAATCAAGACACTCAAGAAGTACAATATGAGACGTCTCATTATGTCTTAAAAATAACCTTAAAGGTAAAGATCAGTTCTGGTCATGCGATTGCATTGTGAAAGAAACGTTGTGGAATCAATCAGAAAAGGTTGATCATCTAGCATCTAGCATCTGCAAGGTTCTGGAATCATCAAAATGATAAGAAATTTGGCCCATTCTTCGTAAAGTTACAAGGACTATACACAGAAAGATGTATATGGGACTACCCTATATCTCTCACAGACCATGAGAGAAACAAATTTACCAAATATATGAATTAGTAGGCGGTTTCCCGGCAAATTTTTTATCTTCATGTTTTAGTCAAAACATATTCTTTCACATGATTGGTAATGAGAGCTTCCATTTCATTTTTTGAAATTGGGGCGTTTCCAATACTGGTCTTTACCTTTAACTTTCTTGATTATAAGGGTACCCAATAACATCTAAAGATCCCATCAAAGGTGGAATATAATGAGAAATGAAAGGTCTTGATTGTGGAATGTGTCATGGAACAGGTGTAAATGAAAGTTGTAAGACAATCTCTAAGAAGCAAATCTGTGTTTGTCCGGTTTCCGGTAATCTTTAGTAACAATAGCTAAAAGGAAGTGACCCTATTAGGTCTGGGGGGTGTTTCACAAAGATTTTAAGTCGAACTTAACTCTAAGCTGAACTTAAAAGTTATGGAGAGCCATTTGTAGCCTTAAAATAAAATATATTCAAAAGTGAAAAATCAAGTATTTTAGACTTTCCATAAATTCCACACCAAGAACATGAAATCTCCCATGATAATAGAAAATATGAATGATTTGAATCAACATTTTATGCCTTTTAAAATAACTTTTACAAAATATTTTCAAGGATGCTAATGGCTTTCCATAACTTTTAAATCCAACTTAGAGATAAGTTCGACTTAGGATCTTTGTGAAACACCTCCCTGGACCACTTACCTTGTATTTTCATCATAAAATTTGACTTTCTTCATGACAGTGGTGTTGTACCAGTCAGCAAATATGATGACGGAGAGACCGTTGTCTATGTCTCTCTTCAGCTTGCTTATCTCCTCGGGGAAGAATTCTTCTTCTGGATCGACCACAAGAAGAGTTCCTGAATGAAAGATCAAATGTTGACAGACACACGACAAATTATTTTCCCCCCAAGGAGACAATAACTCACTAATCTATTGAATGTGACACTGTACTGTCACAACACAACTCTCTAAATGGGTCATATTGCATTTCGTACTGAAAGGATTAAAGATAAAGTTGAGTTCTGGTCATGCCATTGCATTATGAAAGAAACGATGTGGAATTGATCATAAAAGGTCGATCATCTAGCATATAAGTATTGGTGTGTACTGCAGGTTCTGGAATCATCAAAATGATAAGAAATTTGGTCCAGTGTTTGTAAAGCTACAAGCTCTGTACACAGAAAGATGTATAAGGGACTACACGAACATGTGGCATAAAAATCTGTCCCGATTCTTATGCTTGTTACATGCCACATTTAGAATATTAAGTCATTTGAAGAACCACGCTTATCAGGGAACATTTTTGATCTGATGTTCTTCCACACTTGCATAACAACAATAATAACGCTCACAAATTATTGTTCACCTCTTTCCAGAACTCAACCTTCTCTTTAAGTCAACTTAGATTAATACATAAAACATTGTGAATCAACAGATTAATTGAGCAGTAGGCCCTTACTACATTCTGCAAAGCTCTGCTAATGTTCATGGCTTGCTTCTGCAGGTGGTCTGGCAACTTTTGGGGGACCTCTTCTTCTATCCTACAGATCAAATCAATAATCCTTGGCGAGGGATTATAGAAGTCAGGGCAGGAATTCACATTCTCAAGATAGACATCAACAAGTACCCAATGGGGAGGACAAGGTACCTTGAGAAGACAAAAATAATTTGTCCTGCTAATTGCTTCTTGAGTGGATGTTCACACACACTGGGACAAAACTATAATTTGTCTATTCAATGCAAAACTAACAACCACCCCCCCCCCCCCCTTTCATGAGATGTGAAATGTTACTTGCACGAAATATAACATTTCTGCAATGCCACATCTACACAAACATAAACATGTGGCAATGGCCTATTGTTTTCTCATGAAAATTCTTGGAGGCTTACCATACTGCTTCGCATCAAAGCAGGTAAAAGGAGCGCCAAGAACTTCCACATAGAAACCAGCTGCTCTAAGATGCTCATACATATCCTTGAAGTTTGTGTGTATATGATCCCCATTCCTGGAAATAGATCAAGTAGATCCAACATTCAAAGTTTTGTTTAATGATAATTATCCTCCATAGAGATAGAGAGAGAGACAGAGAGAGAGTGAGATATATAGATAGAAGAGAGAAAGAGAGAGAAAAAGAGAGAGAGAGAGAAAGAGAGAGAGAAAGAGAGAGAGAAAGAGAGAGAGAAAGAGAGAGAGAGAGAAAAAGAGAGAGAGAAAGAGAGAGAGAGAGAGATATATATATATATATATATAGAGAGAGAGAGAGAGAGAGAGAGAGAGAGAGGAGAGAAAGAGAGAGAGAAAAAGAGAGAGAGAAAGAGAGAGATAGAGAAAGAGAGGGAGGGAGAGAGAGAGAAGAGAGAAAGAGAGAGAGAGAGAGAGAGAGAGAGGGAGAAAGAAAGAGAGTGGACAAAGACAAACACATGATAAGGGAAAGAAGCGGCAAGTGACAGGAAGAGAGTGGATACGTCGCCGGAATGTCGATCACAAGGTCCGCAGTTTAGAGTCCCGCCACCGCACTAATGTCCTTTGGTAAAATATTGATCTACATTTGCCACACTCCACCCAGGTGAAGTAAATGGGTAACTGGTAGGAATTTATTCCTTGAAACGCAGCGTGCGTAACAGCTGCACTGCTAAAGCCAGGGTAATCATGCTGCATTATTGTAGAGCGCTTAGAGACTTCTGATAAAGTAAGTGTTAGGCGCTATATAAGCAAGGATAATTATTATTATTAAGAATGATGAAAAACTTGGCAACGTGAGGAAAGAAGAGAAACAACAGAGATGAGAAGCAAGAGAGAGAGAGAGAGAGAGAGATAAAAAGAGAGAGAAAACCAATAAAATAATGTAAAGAGCATGGCAGACATGCAATAGATACAACATTGAAATATTTATATTACTAGCAGGTCAATGTAAAAGAAAGGCTAGCTGGCTCACCAGTCAAGAGGATCATTCTTCATTCTGAGGTTATCCCTAGGGAAGTAACCTGGTGGGTACCTCAGGTTATGATACTGGTCCCAGAGGATGCGTTGGCTGCGGGGCGGGGTAGGTATCACCTTCACTCTGATGGGTAGCTTCATGCTACTCCGTCGTGGGCTGTCCTCTCCATTCTGAAGGGGAGTGAGAAAGAAATTAACCCTTTCATTCCAAAAGTTGCACATAAATGGTTCTAATTATTAAGTAATGCCTACAATTGAAAATGATTGAATTGGAAACAATAGTGTGGGGTAGAGGTAGAGAGATGTACAACAAAAACATTTGGAGGTGTTTACAATTACAGTTGATAGCTGCATTTTCTTTTTAAATAATCTAAATTATAAAATAATCTGACTTTATATGACGCTTGATATGAAATCACTTCTCTAAGTGCTTTACAGATATTATTACCTCGGTCATCGGATTCATTGACACACAATGTGCACCACCTCCACTCCCTAGAAAGTATTCCTACCATATTGTCACCGTGAGGGCAAAAATCAATCGCTATTAAACACAAAGGCTTTTGTTATCTTACCAGGTCCCCATTTCTCTCCTCGGTATGGAGTGGCAAATGAAGATTAATGCCTTGCCAAAGGAAATTACTGCTGTGTTGGGGATCGAACCGACAACCTTTGCATTTCAAGTCAAGTGCTCAAACCACTAGACTACGACACCTCAACCTCTTTAAAGGCAGTCCACCACAAGTTAAGCGAGGCTTTGAAAAAACTAAGACTCTCACCTCGGGAGGAGATTCAACAGTCATCATGATCTGACCCTGGGCTATCCCTTCCCATGATGCAGCAGTGGGCGCGGCCGTGATGGACACGGCCATGTATCCAGACCATGGCCAGAGAACAGGAGAGAAAGAGAGAGCAACCTAGAAAAGAATCAAATCAAACAGTCAAGAAATCACAACACATGTGAAAGAAAAGGTATAAAGAATTCATTTCATGGATATGAATGACGTATACATGTACATGTTCCTCCATTTTTTAGTATATCCAGATTTTGAAGAAAAAATGTGGCTGATCATAAACAGATACATTGTATGGAGAAAATGAAAGTAACAGCAGAGATACATTTCTCCAATTATGTACATTAAAGGTACTATGTCCCATTTGCAGGCCAAAAAAATGAAAAAGTTCAATTCCAACTGCATTTGAAAGATAATACTAATTTAGAACTTCCCTAAAAAAGGTGGGGCTTGAAAATGTCTTTAAGTGGGAAAATAACGACTATTAGTTGTCAAATCGACTTTAGGGCTATAGAGCCCAAAAGTAATAGTCTTGATTTTCAGACAATTGTACCGAATGGTCATACGTTTTATGCTGCGCAAAGATTCAATCAGTTTAATCTTGGCCATTACAAGAAGTGGGTTATTGATGTAGACAAATGCTCATGTACCCTTTACAACTCTTTTCATGTATGTTATTACCAAAGAAGAAAAAGAGCCAGTCAGTCACTCAATAGTGTCTGACAGTGAAGTCTAGCAAGTAAACTGGTTTCCTTGCATAATTTGAATATGAGGACGCTGCTAACAATTAAATTTCACAGATAGGACATACATGACATATTCATAATTCCTGCAAAGTTCTACAGCATTTGAGGTTGGCTGCAAAAGGGACATAGTACCTTTAAAGGGATAGTTGAGTTCTGTTTTCAGACCACAAATTCCTTCAAAGTTCATGGTAATTGCTCTTATTCTTATCTATGACATCACATTTCTAGTGCCCTTTTAGGACCTAAAATCGCTATGGAGGTAATTTTAGACCTCAAAATGTGTAAAATTTAGCCTATACGATCATACCAAATCAGCTCTACTTTCAAAAACAATTGGGTACCATTAATTAATTAATTAATTGAAAATAACAATACATGGGCCGGCTGATTGTGCGTAATATAACCAACATGAAAAAGCCAACAAAAAAGCAAACATTAGCTTTGGCTAAAATACAACGTAAAAGGCGCTATTTTGTTTTTTCAACAGCTTTTTCAAATTATCTAATATTTGTGGTGGTACAAAAATATTAGAAATCGTTATATTTATGGATATTTCAGCCGTCTCTGAACCGATTTTGATTAAACAAAAATGATTTTGTCATTTAAATTGTATGTTCTTTCAAATTTGACACTCAGTTTTTCATTATCTCAAAAAAATTATTTTGTGTAGCGCCCCCTGCAATAGAACTCAACTATCCCCGTTTTTATGAATGAATACATGGGAGGGGGAGCAGTGAATGTGAACATTAATAAAAAATATCATCTGGGCCGCGTATTAATAAAGAGTTAGGATTGACCTCACGTTTATGCTCAATATTGATCTTACGATCAATCAAAAGGCTTTATATTGCATGGCCTTGATCTGTTTGGAGCCAGAAGGCCATTAACTCATTAGCACAGAGTTAACGCCCTGCTGCCTCTGAACAAACTATATGTTTGAATAATGCTGTTACAGCGCTATGCCTGGCAATGTCTCCCAGCTCAGTAATCGGTGTGTTGACTCACCACTCGGAAACTAGAACAACACTCAAATTTGTCTGTCATCTTGGTTTGAAAGTAATCTTTCTGATAGATTTCAATATGTAGTTGATAATAATAATTCCTCCAATTTTTCTTCTATTACACGGCGTACCACAAGGTTCTATCCTAGGTCCTCTACTGTTTTTTAAGTCTTTTGTTTTTTTAGGGCAAAAAAGACGGGTGCGGTTAATACACGAGGGCGGTTTATACAACGCTAATTACGGTAACCAAAATACTATCACCTACAAATAACTCCACTCCTGCACGACTGAACAAATACAACAACCAAGTTCCTAACAAATCACTAATCATAAAACATCAAACAGATCAGATGATGCTTTTGTTGAAATGTTTTTTTATGTAAATAATCGTCCCATTTTATGTAACCATGTATTTTATGTAAATTTACTAAATGTAGTTTTTCCTTTACTGTGCAATTTGCAATGTTGTAATTTGTACATTTTTTAAATGAGATGTGGAAAATTAAACTTAACTTGAATAAACCACAACACTATCACCTACATGTACAAATGACTCCGCTTCTACATGACTAAATAAATTTCTACAAGTTTCTACCAACAAATCACTAATCGTAAAACTTCTCACATTCATGAATACTTCTCCAATAAGCAAACTTACTTCAATTTGATCTCCATGCTGTGGGGCGAAGGGCTGCCATATTGGCTTCCCAACTATCTTTCCTGTCACTCCCATGCCATTTAAGATAGTTATCTAAATACAAGACAACATCAGAAACGGTGACTGAATTTTATCATGCCCAGTTTTCCATTTGCACTGAACAGTTAACTTTACAAAACCTCAGGTATATACATGTAGGCATCATGGTATTGCATATACATGGAAATTCAGTTGTTTCATATAAAGAACAACAAACAAATAAATGTTAGATATATGCATAATAAATTCAGGATGTCTTTGTGTAAATAACGTAACATTAAATTCATCGACACATTCATTTTCTTGATTGTTGCCTTGAAAAACCATGACAATCAACTGAGGTTTGAGCCTATCATCGTGAACAAATAGGCCCAAATTCACAAAGGAGGCTTGTCGACAAGCCTCCTTTGTTTCGAAAAACCTCCTTTTGTTTTTTACAAACCAGGTTTGTAAAAGACGCGTCAAAACGTGTCATATGACGTACATAAACCTTGGTTTGTCGACAAACCTCCTTTGTGAATTCGGGCCATAGTATCTCGAGGAAATCTGAATAATTCAAAGGAACGTATTATTGCATTTCTTGATACATCGTTATCAGCAGATCCAAGATATTCCTGCAATGTCTCAATCATTGTATACCGCCTCTAAGCGCTTTCAACAGATATTATTACTCCCCTCATCAGATTCATTCATGCACAATGTGCACCATCTCCACTCTCTGGGGAGTATTCCTACCATATGGTCATCGTGAGGTTATATGGCAATTACTTAATACACAAAAGCTTTCGTCATCCTAAGAAACTGACTGTTGCTATTAAAGAAAGATGCCACCAATGGCCATGCCGGATTCGGATTAGATAGTGATCACTTACATTGACGATGATTGGCATTCCACCATGGTAGATGGGGTGTGTACAGTACGGCCAGAAGTATGGACACTCCGTCAGATCAATATAACTGGGACTAAAGCTGTGGAGCACAAGAACAAGTTCCTTCTGATTAATTGTCTGAAAACTTTATATTAAGTATAAGCAGATAACTATCATATTAATAGAGAAAAGCAATGTAAAGAAATATTGATCAAATGAACATTTCTATAGATATAATGACTGCTTTGAGAGGAATAGTTGTTTTTCTATAGGCTCAAGGGCATGTTGCATCCTGATATCGGGTTGATATCAAGATGCAACATCCCTGAGAGCAAATAACAACTATTCCTTGAATATTAAAGCAGTCATTATATCTTTTATATACCGTTAAATAAGGTCATATAATACATGTGCGACTTACCAATCATGGTAATCAAGTTTGTTTACGCTATCGAAGTCTGTGTTGATAGCTTGCAGGGAGACCTAGGGTGTCTGATCGCGCACTTTATTTTGTGTGCTAAAATCCTTCCAATTTAGATTGCACGCATCATATTCCTATGCAGTCTATGTGCATTGCGCGATCATGCAAAATTTGTCAATATTTTTATTTCCAAATCGAGATTCAAATCGTTATTGCTTGTGATCCTGAAATTGATACTCAAAATATGAGGTGGTCATATGAAAGTGCAGGATTATCTCCATATTTCCAAAGGGGCGTCATCTCCTCGTTCCATGTAAATCTAGGCCTACAATTGAGATCGGCGTTGGTCTGCGCTGTGTGCAAATGTAGCAACCAAATTATTTGCACAAAAACTGTATGGTAGCCGCGCTGCCCACAAACTAACACGTAAACCAATGGGGATCGCAACTATTTTCCTGGTACCCAGAATCTTGCGGGAATAGTCACTCATGAATGGGGATCGCAGCAAAATTTAACTTTTTTTCTGGTACCCGGAATGTTGCGGGAGAATGGCTAAAATCACGACTGCAATTTCAACCGATCAGATGGCTAGATTTCTAAAGAGAGGTATATAATTGACATTTTAATATTTACAAAGTATTCAACCAAGCTATACATAAAATGTAAATGAATTTCAAATTTGGAAAATGCTTTGAAAGTACACTTGTCTGAATCTACTCAGGTGTACGGAATGTGTGGCTAACAAAGATCCTTGGATAGTTTTAGCAATTTTTGTAGGTTGTCCTCAATGACCCTACTCAGATTACACTATCACGACTGATTGACTGGCATGAGAGCAATAACATGGATCAGATATCCTGATTACCTGGCTTGCGGCTTGTAAGTGCTGAGTATCTGATAGGCCTTGATAAGATCCAACTTGCCGTGGCCCTGCTCAAACATGTTGGCAGCAGGTAGTCTCCTGGCCGAGGCCAAGAGGGCCTGCTTCATACTGGCCGGGTTCAGAACCCATTGACGATCTTGGACGGAACTGCAAAGATCGGAAAGTCACTCAGGGATCAGAAACATACAGGTACACAGCCAGTCAGCAGCTGCCTGAGGGACGGATGATGGTAAGCAGACTGTGTGCACTTCAACTAAAACCTCACAGACAGGGATTTTCTTCAACATTTCTCATTCTACCATCATTCAGAATATTGAAATTAGCCTAATCCGACTGAATGTTCTTCCACAATCACTAAAATCCTAATAATAAAAACTTGTCAAAATTATCAAATTATTAAAATTACTAATTTCAGATGTCTGTAAAGTACACCATACAATACATCACTCATGTACAATTTTTTTTAAATTTAAAAAAAAAAAATATATTGCTATTAACAATCAATGTAGCTTTCTGGTAAGACTTGTACTATCTCCACACTCCTGCCACAATGGGTGGTATTCTCGAAAGCGGACCAACTTTAGTCCATAGTTTAATCCACCGACTAAGTATGGATTGCCAAGTGTCCATATGAACATATTTTTGAATAATTTAATATATAACCATGATAACATAATTTTATCATAGTTTAATTGTTGTTTATTAATTTATGTTATTACATTTTATTTCAATTTAGTGACAGATTAAATTATTCAAAAACATATTCATATGGACACTTGGCATTCCATACTTAGTCGGTGGATTAAACCATGGACTAAAGTTAGTCTGCTTTCGAGAGTACCACCAAAGAGATTAACTTACCTGGCCAGGAGTGTGACTGCTCCCGCTACAACGGGAGAAGCTACTGAAGTACCCGAAAGAGTCCTGCATCCGTTCTTCAGCCCTGACCCTCGGACGGCTGAGCCGTAGGTCACGATGTCTGGCTTCAGACGGCCGTAACCACCAGGTAACTCCTACAAAGTACCACAAAAATACATTAAAGCGGATTAGATTAGGCCTATTAGGACTTTGGAGTGGGGAAGTGGGGGGGGGGGGGCAACAGCAACAACATCTGGCTTAATAAAGGCATCGTTTAACAATCTTAACTCTGAGATGCATGGCCCTACGTGTTATCAGTGTCTGTGATATGGTGTAATATTGAAGCCCTGAAAATTTGCGCTTCAAAATGATCATGAAGCACCTCAACAAAGTAAAAAATCTTTGAGTGACCGGCTTTACCATACTCAGTTTCCCCAATAGACTGTTGTGTTATAAAAACCGTCAGGAAAACGAAAAATTAAATTTTGATTTCCAATCATAAATATCTTGATAATCAGACAGGCTTGTAAAAGTCATGGGATTCCTGACTGATCTAAGGGTTTATAATAATGATTGCAGCATGAGCTAAATCCAGGATTTTGTTTCAAAATCTGAGGCAATGTTACCGAGTCACTTTAATTTGTCCACATCCCCAGGCAACTCCTGCAATGTTGTTTTTAAAGAATGAAAAATATTACATTACAAACTGATGAAATCAATCCTTTGTGGACTTGGAAGGGGAGGGGAGGGGGAGGGGGGGGGTCAAATTGAGTCATGTCCCTTGGACAGCAAGACTATCCATCACAATGTCCTGTGCTTCAGAAGCTCATAGGCAACTCTTGCAAAGGGGTTTAAAAGAAGATCATGCTACTTATCATGATTGCATGACAAGGCGGAAAGAGGGGTCATGATGACATAACTTCCTACTCCTAGATCGCTTTGTTAAAGGGAGTGTAGCTTGGCAAATACTGGTTAACGCCATCTCCATCTTCTTTCGGACATCTGCTCATAGGCGAATGGACTTGATTAAAGGTAATACAAAGTTTTGGGAAATTGTGAAAATAGGCAGGATAGTAATTCTTTACAATTTTGATATATTTGGATGCCCCTGTGGATGTATTATAACCACTAAAAAATTTAGCCCCTGAAACATTTTTACTTTCGAGAAAAATTGAATATAAAAATTTACCGGTGCTCTCGGTAAATGTTGATAAATTTCAAATAGCGCTTACGGCCATACAATGGTAGCTGCGACCATGAAAATCTCAGAATATGTAGTTGTGATATGTCATTTCCAAACGGGAATAGCCGATTGGTCAATTTTAATCAAGAAACATTGTTTTATGGCTTAATTAATATCTTGACCTTGAGAGGGAGCTATACAACATAAAGAGTTTATTATTTACAATTTCATAACTTCAGACTCGATTTTAACCGCGACAATGATCACTAAATATTGTAGGATCGCATATGCTTCCAATATGTTCATTTGAACCAAATTCATGACCCCATACCAAAACTTTATATTACCTTTAAGGATTGTCAGCGACTTACTCTCTACATGGTCAGCGTCCGCAAAAAAACAGACCGAAGTTCTCCTCACGCTTCGGTTTCGCATATGTTGCACGCACGTGCTGCTGCGCTCGCGTGGTCATGTTATACCAGATTGGCCCCTAAGTCAGGCCACAGGAAAGACATGTAGTCTCGTCAGGCTACACTCCCTTTAACATTCAACTTGCCTTGCAATGATAAAGACTGCTCAATAAAAATTGGTTTAAATCTCTATTCCCGAGTTAAATGTAGATATACTTAGATTCTAAAGCATTATTGCATGGCTTTTTCTAGGGTATGGGAAGCAGATCATCTTTAGTGAATGTAAATTGTCATACCCATGTGGTCATCCCTCTGGAAGAAAACTTGGCAATGGAATCCTCAAAGTTTATTCCTCCTACTCCGATCACGTCCATCTGATCAGCTGGATTGTTGAGAGTTCTGAAAACAGCAAACAAAATAATACAGAAAATAAGCAAAACTATGCTGGTAGGGCTGCTCTTTTAAGGTACCAAACACATACATGTAACCTCCAACATCCAAGATATACAGAGCCTGAGATTTATTTTACCAATATTGATCTAAGCATGTTGAACTAGATGGAACTTCGACTGCGTGCAGTCGAAAATGATGTCTCCGCCATAGAGCGATTTCACAAACCAAAACAGAAGTAATTTTTCAAATTCAAGTTTAATTGTACCGTTAATCCATTAACGGGTTCTCAGAATATCGTGATTACAAGCTACTTTTCATATACATGTATGACCCTTTTATCTTAGACCTCATGACCCTAAAATCTAATCAGTTCATTGGCTTTGCAAGATACATACTTGTCTTGAGTTGATGGTAATCCGTCCATCGGTTCTAATAAAATTGTGATTTCAAGCTATTTTTGCATATATAATGAGCCCCATGACCTTTGACCTCATGACCCAAAATCTAATCAGTTTGTTGGCTCAGCAAGATACATACATGTCCTGCATTTGATGGTAATCTGTCCAACAGTTCTAATGATGTGATCATGAGCTATTTATGCATATATAATGAGCACTGTGATCTTTGAACTTTGACCATGTGACCCCAAAATCTAATCAATTCATTGGCTTTGCAAGATACATACATGACCTAAGTTTAGCAGGAATCCATTAATCGGTTCTTGAGATAACGCGATCACGAGCTATTTTTGCATGCATAATGAGCACTGTGACCTTTGACCTTTGACCTTGTGACCCCAAAATCTAATCAAATCATTGGCTCTGCAAGATACATACATAACCCAAGTTTGACAGGAATCCATCAATCGGTTCTTAAAATAACGCGATCACGAGAACGGGACGTACGGACGTACGGACAGACGGACGGACGGACAATCCGAAAACATAATGCCTCCGGCTACTTTGTAACGAAGGCATAAAAATATTGAAAAAGGTGAAGCATGACTAATACAAACATGAAGTATGGGAAGAAGTTTAGAACACATCTTGCGACGCGGTGGATACATCAATGGACTTTGGTTCAAAAAGGTCTGTTTTGACATTTCAACCACATTCATAATCCTAAGGATTATACTACAGGTTACAGAAAGGAAAAAAACAGACAATCAAGTTGTACATCTAACACCCAAAAGCGAAATGAAAATTAAAAAAGAAGAGAGAAAGATATCATTCATTGACGAGGTATTAATTTACATCGATACTCCATACCCCAGAAATTCTCTCAGGGAACAAGGAAATCAGGAGGGTGTTTCACAAAGATTCTAAGTCAAACTTAACTCTAAGTTGGACTTAAAATTTATGGAGAGCCATTTTGTAGCTTCATAATGAAATATATTCAAATGCAAAAATTCAAGTACTTTAGACTTTTCATAAATTCCATATCAAGAACATGAAATCTCCCATGATAAAAGAAAATATGAATGCTTTGAATCAACATTTTATGCCTTCAAAAATAACTTTTAAAATATTTTCAAAGATGCTAACGGCTGTCCATAATTTTTAAGTCCAACTTACAGATAAGTTCAACTTAGGATCTTTGTGAAACACCCCCAAATGTCAATGTATACACTCACCCATACAGTGGCCCATCATTGCCAATAGCAGATACCATGATGACTTTGTTAGCTGTCAACTCCCACACCTATTTCAAAATAAATCAAACAAAAAACAATGGTTAATTTCTGGATCCATAATACACAACACCTTGCAAAAGATAGTAACAAAAGCAAAATATTCACTATGCCTTAAATAAAGTCAAGTGTATGAGAAGTTTTTGAGAAAAAATTACAATTACAATAACAGAAAGATACACCAACAAGAAATTAAATCATTAAACAGACAATCCTGATAGAGAACAAATACAAAGAAAATATTGAGATAAGTTCAACTTAGGATCTTCATGAAACACCGCCCCCCCCCCCCCCTGATATATGTTTTATTAATACAATAAATACAAATGGTATTCTACAACTGAACACATACCAAAAAGGCTAGGAGAGATAGAAAGAGAATGTTTCATTTTTCAATGCGTGCTTCCACGTATGACATATTAAAAACTATCTCTGGATCAGATTCTCTTTGTATTTGTTCTCTATCAGGATTGCCGGTTTGATAGATGATTTAGAAGACTACAGTACATTTCAATGTCAATGTTTTGTAACAGCTGGCCCGTCTGCACTGATAGAACAGATGATAAGAACAGGAACCTGTTTCACAAAGCCTCTTTTCAATGACAAATGACAAAAATCAGTGACAAATCTGTTTAAAACCAATCAGAAGCAAGGATTTCAGTAGCTTATAACAAAAACTGTCATTTGTCACTGATGACAAGTTTTGTGAAACGCCCCCCTGAAGGCTCTATTCAATGTACCTTGTCAACGAATGGGTGATCCATGAAGTCAGGCCCTCCAATACTCAGGTTGAGAACGTTGATCTTCTTGAGGATTGCATAGTTGAAGGCGTCCAGGAACCATGACGTATAGGACACCTAGATCATGATTAAACAACAATATAATATAATATAATATAATATAATATATTATAATTATAGCACACAGACGGAAATTATGTATGTTTAAAAAAAGGATGCTTAAAATATGATGTAGAAATCAATAACAAAAATAAAATAAAATAATACAAGAGAAATCCTGAGAACTGTTTATTCACCAGGGATGATAGTGAGCACTTTCCTCAAACCTCCCCCCCCCCCCCCCCCTTGAGAGAGAGAAAAAAAAAAAAGGATTCTGGGAAAAAAAAAGGCAACTAAAACATTCCCCCCCCCCTTCCCCCTTTTGAGTAAGAAAATTAGGAAAACATTAGGAAAAATCCGGAAAATAAGGGGAAAATCCGGAGAGAAAAAAAAATTGGGAAAAAAATTTTAATGATCGGAAAACCAATTTAAGTCAGGTAATTTTCAGGCCTGATTCACATGCAGTTCTAACATCATATGAAAAAAAGTGTGGAAAAGCAAAGTTCTTCCAAAGCTACGATCATATTGTCAGCAGACCCATCACCATCCCAAAGAGATGCTCAAAACACCTACAAAATACTAGACGTGACCACGCTGCTGCACTAAGGTGCTTAAGTATTTCTTACCAAGTACCCATCTTGTACCCGTAGGTTAAAAGTAGTAGATGTTTATTAATTTATTGCCATTCAATCCAGCCTCTTGAAATGTCCACACACTTTTTAGCACCTACCAGACAACCCACCCTTTTAAAACTCATTTATGTACTTTATTATACACTTTATTCCAGAGTATTTGTGAAAATCCAGAATGTGGAGAGGTCAGTATTGACAGGAGCACCAAAATGTTTCTTACGGCTAATGATGATATCAGCTACTTTACTTCTCATATTTTCTTATTATTGTTTATTTCTTTTGCTTGCTAAAGAGATGTGCCAGGGCCCGTTGCACAAAACTTCCCATTGATGGTAACTGTGCCATCAATGGTAACTACCATGGAAACCTTGATTTTTAATTGGATGGTGAGCCCTGTTAACATGGTAGTTGCCATTGATGGTAAGTTTTATGCAACGGGCCCTGCCCTTGTTTACAAAATAAAACATGGAAAGCAAACACAATGGCAAGCACCATTTCAAATCAGAAATTCATGAATTACCTGATTATTAGTAAAGACCCTGAAAATGTAGAGATCAGCATCGGGTGCAAACCCCAGACACTCCTTATGACTGGTGATGACCCCTGCTACGAAGGTCCCATGACCCAGCCCATCATCCAATGTCTTCTCGTTGGTCCAGTTTGTCCTCTCTTTGATTTTCTTGAAGTGCGGATGGTTCTCACTCAGACCCGTGTCAAAAACGGCCACCTTCACACCGGCACCTGAAAATGGTACGAAAGACGGGTCTTATAAAAACGTTGCTCAATGGTACAATGGTAACATTCCAAATGTGTCAAGGTACGAATAAAAAGAATAAAGTCTAATTTCATAATTATGCGATTAGAAGGGGCTACTGCTTCTCATTCACATCTCCACTGCCCCTTCCAACAACCTTTATCATTACCTGTTTGTCTATTAATCCCATGTGTCAAGACAAAAGCACAGTCACCTTTGAGATTTATATTTCATTTTTTATAAAGAAACCGACTTCTTGTCCGATGATTGTGCAATGTTCATTTATAGTCCCACACTAGAAAATCAAGGATGGGAGTTGCTGCTACCTTGTTTGGCGTTCAACAATAAGGGATAGAGCAACGTCGATCTGGCGCTGCTCAGTGGCTTACGGGCACACGATCAATTGGGCAAAAAGAATTTTCATTTCGGTTTAATAAAAAATTTGGAGTGGACTAAAATATTATTATTATTATTATTATTATATGTCAAGGATGTGACGATACTTCTCCGCAACTTTTCTGTGGCAACATGATAAACAGAACCCGAGTTGGTAGTGGCATCATGAGAGAGAATCCACAGTCTGTTATGCTTTCAAGAGTTAGGACAGATTTGGCATGGTCAAATTTAAAACTTACCTGAGAAACCCATGTCCCAGAGCAAGTCGGCTTCCAGGGCACTTGTGATCTGCCGTGGGACCGCCCTCAACAGGCGACGGCTTGTATAACGGCCAGTGGAGTGCCAGAAGTTGGAATTCTATCATTAAGAAAAACAATAATGATGGCCATCAGGGTGACCTAAAAGCTTACTTACATCGACTAGACAAACATGATCACTACACAACATAACAAATTGCTGCCCTATATTTTGTATTCATTGCCTCTAAAACTGAGATTTTTTTTTCCTTCTAAATATAACTGATTGAAAAATTATATCTTTGATGACAAAAAACAAAGTCCTACTGAGAAAGAGAGAAAGAAAAAATGGTTTATCACCGACTGCAATCTTTCGTCTTCTGTTATGTTTTTATTTTTTTCCCGAAGGGGGGAGGGGGTTAATTATTTTTCTTACTAAGGACTTACCACTCCTAAGCTTGCCCTTGAAATCTTTCTTGATGATGTCCAATTGCTGGTGCAGTATGCCCCTCTTCCATCACATGGATCATCAATTTTCAATTCTGAAAAACAAAAGACACAGACAGAAAAAAAAGCATGAAGTTGGATAGAGGTAAGAAAGTTTCCTTTTTGAAAGCTTGAAGAACAATGAAACACCATGAAAATTGGAATTTGGAATGATGTACACCTGTACATGGTTACTACTCTACACATGATTTTGTCTCTGTACTTCTTTATAACCTTTGCTTCTCATTCTTTTTAAAGGTAATACAAGTTTTGGTATGGGGTCATGAATTTGGTTCAAATGAACATATTGGGAGCATATGCGATCCTAAAATATTCAGTGATCTTTGTCGCGATTGAAATCGAGTCTAAAGTTATGAAATTGTAAATAATAAACTCTTTATGTTGTGAAGCTCCCTCTCAAGGTCACAATATTAATTAAGCTATATAACAATGTTTCTTGACTAAAATTTAACGATTAGCTATTCCTGTTTGGAAATTATCTATCACAACTACATATTCTTGAGATTTTCATGGTCGTAGCTACATGTACCATTGTACGGCCGTAGGCGCTATTTGAAATTTATCAAAATTTACCAGGAGCACCGGTAAATTTTGATATTCAATTTTTCTCGAAAGGTGTTTTAGGGGCTAAATTTACTAGTGCTTATAATACATCCACAGGGGCATCCAAATATATCAAAATTGTAAAGAATCACTATCCACCCAATTTTCAAAATTTCCCAAAACTTTGTATTACCTTTAATGGGAGGAGTGGGGGATGATAGAAATAATCATAGACAACCATGATCACCTATGATCACTTGACTGCAGGGTGCCTGTAAAAACATTTATTAAATGTTTGCCAGAACAGCATCATTAGTTGCATAATGCAATATAATTCAGAGAAGGGAGAAGGGGTTTTAGGAAGTCCATCCAAAATAACATTCCTTAGCCTGTTTCTTTAACCCATTGTTCATGCCAAGATAGACACATTAATAAAGGACCTTATAGAAAAATGAAGAAAAAAATATTTACTGTATGAGGAAAAGGTGAACATCTATTCTTTTTTGTTATTACATGGCTCATTACTTCTGTAGTCTGTATCCACCCCCCCCCCCCAAAAAAAAAAAATGTATATATATATATATATATATATATATATATATATATATATTTTACAATGAAGAAGTCATGGATGTCCTTGGTAACAACTAACATTTAGTGACAAGTAAATTCTCCCACCAAACATTTTACACTTTAAAAGACTTCGTAAGTATCACATTATTGTTTCCAATAAAACAATTTCATTACCATCCATCAAGGGCTTGACCATGTCATTCTCTTCTTCTTCCTCTTCAATGAACCCTGAACTCTTGATTGACCGTGTGACCCTTCGTTGCGGAGTGACCTGTTTTACCGCAGGGTGATCTGACAGCGAACTCAGATCGGCCGCATCCACTCCAGATATCTGATGAAATAAAGCAAAATAAAAGAATCGGAATAAACGATAGAGTACAACATCTGACTGGTAAGTTTTGTTTTAAAGGCCCACTACACTACTTGTAGCTACTTGCACCCTCTATATAACAAATAATGCCTAATCAGTGACCATTGGTCCCCCATGATCCTCTTTTTCTTATGTTAACTGAGAGCTGAGTTGATGAGATAACCACCTGTCCAGTGACCTTGCAGGGCGCTCTAATCCCTCCTGTAAACTATGGCAGATAAGCTTTAAAGGAATTATGCAGGAGTAAAGTCATGATCCATAATAAAATCATCCCAGGGGGTTGTTTCACAAAGACTAAGATTGACTTTAAAGGGATCCGGTAACTTTGTCTCAGATTCTGAAATAAAATTCTGGATTTAGCTCATGATGCAATGATAATTATAAACCTTTAGGTCAGTCAGGAACCCCATGACTTTTACAAGCCGATCGCCTGTCTGATTATCAAGATATTTATGATTGGAATTACAAATTTTGAAAAACGTTCGCCTGGCGGTTTTCATAACACTACAGTCTATTGGGGGAAACGAGTATGGTAAAACCGGTCACTCAAAGATTTTTACTTTTTTGAGGCACTTCTTGATCATTTTGAAGCGCAATTTTTTTAGGGCTTCAATATTACACCATATCACAGACACTGATAACACGTAGGGCCGTGTATCTCAGATTTAACATTGTTAAACGATCCCTTTAAGTTAAACTTAACTATGGCAGGCCTTTCATGCCACTATTTCTACTTACTATTCCTGGCATTGGTTTCTCAACGGACGTACATATGTACAAATCGTAGTCACACATCTACGGAATTTACCTTTTTTTGATACAGTTCGTTATTGAAAGAAATTTTTTATCTAAAGATCATAATTGAGAGACCAATCGTGATAGTAACCAGTGGAATGAATAGCCTGCCATAGTTAAGTCCAACTTAAAGTCAATCTTAGCCTTTGTGAAACACCCCCCAGGATAGCTTCCACAGTGAGCCGCTGGTGGGATCATTTCTATAATGGACTAGGTACAAAGGGTCTGAACTATCAAAGCTGGAGACTAGTTCTCACATAAGCCTTGTATACATTATACATGTACATGTAGTGTTGCCCATGACACATTCAATGTCAATCGGATAGACATGGCTCAAGACATGCATATCAGTATACCAAAACAAAAACGAACTGTACGTAAGAGGGAAAAAATGAAGAAGAAGAAGAAGTTCGTTATTGAAGGAAATTTTTTATCTAAAGATCATAATTGAGAGACCAATGGTGATAGCAACCAGTGGAATGAATAGCCTGCCATAGTTAAGTCCAACTTAAAGTCGATCTTAGCCTTTGTGAAACACCTCCCAGGATAGCTTCCACAGTGAGCCGCTGGTGGGATCATTTCTATAATGAACTAGGTACAAACTAGTTCTCACATAGGCCTTGTATACATTATACATGTACATGTAGTGTTGCCCATGACACATTCAATGTCAATCGGATAGGCTTGGCTGAAGACATGCATATCAGTATACCAAAACAAAAACAAACTGTACGAAAGAGGAAAAAAGAGAAGAAGGAAAAGAAAAAGGGGTGTGCACAACACTGCACATGACATAATACAGTGTGATGTGTGTACTAAAAGGGTACAATGTCAACAATACCATATTTCACTACCGGTTGTTCTTTAAAGCTAAAGACCAGTTATGGTCATGCGATTGCATTGTGAAAGAAACGTTAATGTGAAATCGATCAGAAAAGGTTGATCATCTAGCATAGATGTACTGCAAGGTTCTGGAATCATCAAAATGATAAGAAATTTGGCCAAGTCTTCATAAAGTTAGAAGCACTGTACACAGAAAGATGTTTATGGGACTACACACACGTGCGCGACACGTGCATTTCATATCTCTCAACAGGCAAGAGATACACTAATTTACCAAATATATCAATTAGTAGGCGGTTTCCCGTCAAAATTTGTATCATCATGTAATATTCCAAACATATTCTTTCACACGATTGGTAATAAGAGCTTCCATTTAATTTTTTGAAATTGGGGCGTTTCCAATACTGGTCTTTACCATTAATGCACAAACATCTAATCTATAATTTTAAAAAAATGGTTCGTACATTTGTAAATGTAAGGTACTATTTAAAATCAAGAGAAATATAATGAATGATATATGAAGGGTACATACCATTTACACCTGTTCATAATTCATAAACCAGGTATATTCACAACATGATTGGATATTCCCTATACATACACATACGGGTACATATACATGGTACATGTACATGTACAGTGTGACTTACCAAATTACAAACCAGCATTTGTGTGTAAGTTCTAAAATATTCATGCATTACATGTTAATTAGCATGAACAAACAATTTAGGCCGTAAAATGCTTAGATATACATGTGTCTGCTAATACTAATAGGATTACAAACACACAATAACCTTCAGTAGATGATAAGTAAATACATGTATTCATGTGTACATGTAACTCTGTATGTATGGTTCTTGTTTTTTTTGTTTTTTTGTTGATGTGCTAAAAAAAAAAAAAGAGTATTTTATGAAGAAAAAACATGCTACCGTAATTGGGAGAAAAAAACTGAATAATTCCGGGAAAAACGTAATGGTTGGCAGCTCTGCTTATGGCTCCAAGGTATTCTGAACAAAACTGGCTTTTGCATTGAATTATGTGTATGGCAATATCTCACTGCGTAACATTAGGTTTGACAAGACACTTGATCAAAACAATCTATTTATGTTTTCTTACTAAAAATGTACATTCTCAGTACCCTCTTTTCATTTGCTGGTTCTCAACCTGAAGTTAAAATGATATGACCATCTACTCCTAACATTCGTCTTAATTTCAATAATACTAGAAGTTTGTGTTTATCTTAATGCAGAAGACCACACAAAAGGTGAAACTGTGACTATACCGGTACACTAGAGTCTGTTACATGTGGCTTGCTAACAAGTGGAGAAAATGCAACCGTAGACAGGAACTCTTTCTAGATTTGCATACATGTGAAAATAAGAATAATGAACTTTTAGCAAATTCGCTACTCTCAAATCGCGGCACATGATAAAACAAGCTTAATTTGGCTTTACCACCAAAAAAACACAAAAACAAAAATCAGAAGGGTTGGCAGGTATGGATTTGTTATTGTACTTCAAGAAACAGAGCTACTAAGTGTCAAGCATTAGACGTGACATCACGCATTTCGAGGGTCTGAAAATGCTCTCATGCACAACGCGCGCGCTAGATTTTGAAAAAACGTTATACCTTATACATGTGTTATACCCTCGCCCGCGCGCCGAGTCATGAAAATGTCACGCATTGCTGATCTTTGAGCTTGGCGTCTCTGAAGAAAGGTGATTTTTCTTCATTTCTTTGTTTGTTTTAATACTGTCTCTCACTCACCTTGATGACATCAAAGTCACTCGGGTAGACAGCAGCTGGGTTGTCTCTGGCTACGATGTGCCACGCACTGGCGTTGCAGCTCTTCATCGCTGCACAAAGATATCTGTGCCTTGCCTTGGCTGTGTAGTAGCTATGAAACATGATTATGAACTCTAGGAAAAGGAACAAAATGAAAAGAATGACAAATAAGAGTGTAGATTATTACAGATTGCTCAAAATTTATCATAATACAGTCAAACCTGCTTTAGGGACCACCTGTCTAAAACAAGCACATGTTTTGTTTCCCTTGAAAATGGTTTCTCATTGAAACATGTACTAAAGGAACCTGTCTACAAAGACCACTTTTGTGTATCCCTTGGACGGTCGCTGTAGACAGGTTTGACTGTACTCTTTATTCAGGAGGTGTCAAAAGCAACGGGATAATGATGATGGTAGATGTACAGAAACTAGAAAGACATTATCCATGTAAAGGGACGAGAGATCAAAGGATAGCCAAGTATGTACACAACATAATTAATGACCCTGGACAATTTAATTACACTTGGACTTTTCTGACCCAGGCACGTTTGTTATTTTAAAGTTAATAATAATATAACAATTCCCCTTTTACAAGGCGCTTAAAGATAAAGTTGAGTTCTGGTAATGCGATTGCTTTGTGAAAGAAACGTTGTGGAATCGATCAGAAAAGGTTGATCATCTAGCATAAGTATTGGTGTGTATACTGCAAGGTTCTCTGGAATCCTCAAAATGATAAGAAATTTGGCCTACGGTAGTCTTGGTAAAGTTACCAGCAATGTACAGAGAGAGATGTTAATGGGACTAAACGAACATGTGGCCTAAACATCTGTCCGATTTTTATGATGAAACTTACCATATTTAGAATATTTTTAGAATATTAAGGCATTTGAAGGGCCATGCTTTTCAGGTAACACTTTGTATCTGATGTTCTTCCACACTTGCATAATAACAATTATAATGCTCACAAATTATTTTTCACCTCTTCCCAGAACTAAACCTTCTCTTTAATACATAGACAATGAATCTACCGGTAACCACTTTTCAGACATTTACCTCGGTCATCGGATTCATGCTTGCCCGTAAACAATGTATGCTCATTCTCCACTCCCTGGGGAGCATTCCAGCCAGGGGCCATAATACAGACGCTCACATTGCTGAGCAAACTACATTAACTTTCTCATCCTACCGGTACAAATTTCTTAAGTGCAAAATTATCGCAGCGTTTTCATGTATGTTAATATTTTTGTATTATTTTGTTGTCTTTTCTGACCAGAGTTTTCTTTTCTTTTCACTAAAGCTCCAAAGTCAGAGCTAAATCACTCATTGTTTTAATTAATAGTTTGATGTATTTTGTTTCAACTTTCAATGCTACCTGGAATCATCCACTGGAATATATCTTTCTACTAGCAGCATGCTGGAGTCAAGAGCAAGGGTACAAATTTATAGAGAATAGAAAAGGAATATTTATATAATATTGGATGGCTTTGAGTGGGATACAATAATATTGCTCGAGCTATGACAACATTGGACGAGTCAAAGACGAGTCTAATATTGTCATAGCGAATATATTCTTGTATCACACGAAAAAAAAGCCATATAATATTATTATTATCTATATTAGGCTGACTAGCGAAATAACCAAAATTTGACTTAATTACCAAGGTAAATATGGCTTTTGCCTGAATTCACAAAGGACGTTTAACATACATGTAACCCACGGTTTAAACCCTCATTTACATAACCCATTGTTTAAAAATTAGCGCAAAATAAGTGTACCCTGTGCTGCGCCCGTCTGATTGTGTCACGCTTATTTTGCGCTAAGTTGAAGTTCCCGGATGACTGAGCAATACAAAAAAAATATTGGTCGGTCATCCAGGTACTGCGCTAAAGGTATTGAATACACTGATTTATTGTACTTGGAAGCCTCATATAGATAATAATGTACAATACATTATACCCCAAATTATCAAAATCATGTCTCTATTATTGCCATCATAATCTAGGGATAGGGATCTATATAAATTTGAGTTGATATTAGAAATCACATCATCTATTGCGCAAAAAAGAAGTACAAAATGTAACTATATTTGAAAGGGCAAGTCCAAGTTATGTGTTATACTTAACTGTAATAAGTATTTTAAACATTGTATTATGGAGTTGTAAAGATACATGTACATGTAAATTATCTTTAAAAATATCAATTTATTTGATATTGTGTACGATTCAAGCTGCAGCAGGGTTATGAGCTTGAAACAGTCAGTAGGATGTACACTGTACAGTACATGTATGAGACGAAACAAGCTTGGACTCGCTCTGAATTCATGCACAAGTTTCATAAATACATGAGAATGTGCCTGCATGTACCTGGACGAGCCCACAAATGTGTGAATGTTTACAATGTAGAATAATGATCTACATATACAATCTCATCAAAATGTCAATGTAAAGTTTCTTTTAAAGAAGAAGAAACAAAAAAATTATAATAATAATAATAACAAAAGTAGTACAAATAAATACATAAACTGAATTAAACTAGAAACGGCCCTTTAAATATGTCATGTTTGTTTGCTTTTAAAAATTAAATACATTTACCATACATTTACCATCAAACAGGGTAGTGAGAGTACATGTTTCTTAAAAATGTTTGGTTGTGTAAAAAAAAAAAAAATTGTCTCACCATCTGAAACAAGCTCTGTTGAATAATGCGACTGACGACTAAGATCCCTATCTGTCATGGGCGCCACCCCCGGGCAGGTTGCGGAGGACATGGGAATCGATGTTGTTTTATATGGCGAATATTGCACATGAGTTCTGTCCAGCTGAAAGCTCAGCTCAAAGCAAGCAGTCAATATAAAGAGGATATATAAAAGTCTTCTACAGCTCACATCCACCATTAAAGTTCGAGCTGATAGCGATGTTCTGAGATGATGTTGGTGGTGGTTGCCATGATGATGGCTGTGATGATGACGATGGTGGCTGGTGCGTTTGGAAGGATACATGGCGCTGTGAAGGACGGACGGACAGGCGTGTCACACAGACCCTCGACAGTGTTGGGTACATGTAGGCCGAGCTGATGATGAGTTACCAAAGTTCCAGCATATGATAATCATTGTTTTCTGCTGATTCCTCACATAACTGTGAAAGTCACAGATTAAGCCCAATCGTTGTCCAACCTGTAAAAGTAATTGATAAAGGTTGTCATAAAGAAATTTTTATTATTTTTTTCAGCAAAAGAAAAGACAAAATTTGCAAACAAACATTTATTGTGTCGGCATCAACAGTCTTGACAATTTTGAAAGGTTTTTGTTTGGGGACACCCAGCAACCATCAATGACTCAGCCCCAAAAGGCCAATATTCAAATTCAAATTCAAATTCAAAGTTTATTCAACACTCTTCATAAAAACATTTAAAACATACAAATACAGAATGGAGTTATAAATATTAAAAAACACAAAAAGGTGATAACAAATACAATGGCAATTTATAAGAGCATTTGGGATAGGCAGAAAGGAGGGAAGTTCCTTATATAAAAGCCTACCCCTAAAAACACACATACATGAAAACGAGAACAATAGAACAGAACAATAAAACAAAGAACATATTAAAACTTACTATCATGCACGATCAGAGTATATAAGAAAAATGTCAAAAATTTGTCTATACTATTGATACTAATTATTATACTTGTTTAACAGAAATTGTTTATATTTAACTTTAAAAAGATTGAGAGTTTTGCATTTTTTTATTTCCTGAGGTATACTATTCCATATTAATGGTCCTTTAAAAAATAGTGAATTTTTCATACAAGTCGTTCTAATCTTGGGGAGGTGATAATTTAGGGCATTCCTAGTATTAAAATTATGCACATCACAATTCAAGTTAAAACATGTTGATAAAAAGGTAGGCAAGTTGCCATTAAAACATGAAAACATGAAAACTGCAATATAAAAATTATGCATATCGATTACATTCAGAATTCCAAGTTTACAAAATAAAGGATTACAGTGAGCATAATATTGGGAATGGGTTATAATGCGTATTGCTTTCTTTTGAAGAATAAGTAACCTTAACATATCATTTTTATTAAAATTTGCCCATGCAACTATACAGTAATTAAAATATGGTGTTATTAATGTATGATACAACATTTTCAAAATATTTGAGGGATAAAAATGAACTTTATATAAAATACCAATATTTTTTGCTATTTTATTGCACACCACATTTATATGCTCATGCCACTTCAATTTATGATTAATTACAATACCTAAAAACTTAAGATTATCTACACGTTCAAAATTATGATCATTTACTCGTAAGTGCATGTTGTTAAAATCAATATTTCTATTTGTAAAAACCATAAACTTAGTTTTATCATAATTTAAAACCAATTTATTATATAAAAACCAATTAGAAAGTTTCAAAATTTCTTGCTTAAAAACATTTTGTAAAACCTGGACATCAGAATGAGACATAAAAACACTTGTGTCATCAGCAAATAAAATTAATTTTAGTTTATCAGAAATATTGCACATGTCATTAACATAAATAATAAATAAAAGAGGTCCAAGGATGGATCCTTGAGGCACTCCACATCTAAGTTTTTCAATATTAGACTTATCTTTATTTATTTGTACAAATTGGGTTCTATTTTCTAAATAACTTTCAAACCATTTTAAAGTTACTCCACGAATACCATAATAATATAATTTTTTCAATAAAATAGTGTGGTCTAATGTATCAAATGCTTTACTTAAATCTAAAAAAAGGCCCATTAAGATATGATTATTTTCAAAAGTTTTCAAAACATTATAAATAAAATGCATAATTGCATTAGATGTAGAGTGACCAGGTCTAAAACCATATTGACATTCAGAGATAATATTACACTTATTTAAAAACATAAAAAGTCGATTATAAACAGCTCTTTCTAAAATCTTGGAGAAAACAGGGAGTATAGATATAGGTCGATAATTAGAAACATTTTCTTTAGTGCCATTTTTAAAAACAGGAATAACCTTTGCAAGTTTTAATTGCTCTGGTACTATACCTGCAGATAAAGAAATATTGAATATTGCACTTAAAGGACATGATATAATATGAACAACTTTTTTCAATAATTTAACACTTACATCATCATGACCACAACTCTTATTATTTTTTAATTTACTTACAATATTGATTATTTCTGTGGGGGTAATGGGATTAAAAAAAGCTGTACATGAATTAAAATCAATATTACTATAAATGTCATCATTACTAAAATCATTATCTATGTTGTTGTCTAAATTATCAGTTAAGCTAGGTCCTATATTAATAAAAAAATTATTAAAAACAGAGCATATTTCTTTCTTATCACATATAGCTTGATCATTACACACAACCGAGTCGGGCATATTATGCTTACTCGTACTCTTACCGAGACTTTCATTGATTAATTTCCATGTTTTCCGTATGTTTCCTGATGCATTTCTAAATTTGGCCTTAAAATATGCTATTTTAGCTTTTTTAATTTTACCATTCACCATATTTCTATATTTGTTGTATTTATCTTTTTTATATTCAATTGGATCTTTCAAGTACTTCTTATATAATTCACACTTTTTTTTGCACATTTTGCGTAACTCTTTAGTAAACCATCGGTTATTATATTTGTTACTCTTTATACATTTTTTCAAAGGAAAACATTTATTAAAAATACAAACATACTGTCTTAAAAAACATTCATAACTATAATTTGGATCATTAGAACATAAAGTCCAATCAGAGTTATATATTTCATGCATAAATTTACCAATATTTTCCTCATTTAGATCACGTAAAACAAAATTATTATCTTCATTTTGTATGCACTGTTTTTTATTGATTACAAATACTGGCAAATGGTCACTTACGTCACTTAAAATTGTTCCACACCAAACTTCTTCTAAATTGTTCGTAAAAATATTATCAATTAAAGTACAAGACCTGTCAGTTATTCGGGTTGGACAATGAATCATGGGATATAAAAAGTGAGTCATCAATAATTCTAAAAAATCATTAACAGATTGGCAAGAGTTAACATCAAATAAATTAATATTAAAATCGCCCATAAGATATATGTCTTTATTTTCCTTATGAACAACATTTAAAGTATCTTCTAAAATATCTAAAAACGATTGCACTGGTTGATTTGGAGGCCGGTAGATAACACCAATTAAAACATTTTTCTTTACCTTTTCAATTTCTATAAACATTGACTCAAAACATTCATTATTTACATCTAAATCCTTACGTTGTTTATATTTCAAATTCTCATTTAATAAAAGTCCTACACCTCCTCCTTTCTTACCTTGTCTTACATTCAATAAAAAAATATAATTATTAAAATTGTAGAATGGGTCAGCCTCTTTAATCCAAATTTCAGTAAAACCAATTGCAGAAAATTGCACATCAATAGCATCTAAAAGCGAACATATTGCACTATAATTCTTATTTAAACTACGACAATTTATATGAAGGTAACTTGATGTAAAATATACTTTAGAATGAGAATTAAAAGTGTTTAAACATGAATTAAATTCCTCGGACGTATAACAAAAACTATTTGGTCCATATTCTTCATCGTCCTCTGTAGTTGGACTCAATAACTGATGTATATCTTGGGGTTCTATGGGCATCTATATTTCACATTTATTCCGATCATTTTCACTGGCATTTTGACATAAGAAATAAAGAGAAAGTAGAAAAACGTGTTCATGACACAGATAATATAAACGAACATACAAAACTAAGGTTACGAAACCAAAGCCTAAAACACACACAATTAAAACCAATAACTTAAAACAGTTCTACAACTTAAGCAAACAACACAAAAGTTCAGAGATTTAAAATATTGTTGAAATAGAAGAACAATTCATAAATGGAAGAAAAAATGAACTAAAAAAAAAAAACAATACGAAATATTAAAAGCAAATCAGGACTATTTTAGTCAATCGTGGGGAAAATGCTAGTAAAAGTAGTGGAATGTATCATCGCATGCATTATGGTAGTTTGTTCAAATCATGTAAGTTCTGTATGACCTTTTTTGTAGTTTTTCCTCTCGTAGCGGCAATCAGAACTATCACGTGACCATCTGATGTCCAGGCTTCTTTGACCTTTTCGTGATGCTTGGCTTTCCACAAAAGATCTAGGTTGTATGCCGTTAGTGCTTCATCAATAGCTAAGCCAGACCCCTTCAGTTTGCGTCTAGCGTGAAGAACAGCTGACCGCTTCCGATAGGAGCAATATACCTTAGGATGGAGACCATAAGCTACACACTTTGTTTAAAAAGGCTAAATGAGTCATGTATGGGTAACTCAGTGTTTTTAGCTACATGTAAGTTTGTTTTGTTAACATATATATTTAAATAGATATTTTCTCCATATTTTAATAGTAATACTCATAGCTTGAATTGTCAAGAAAATTATGATGGACAAATTTAAGTCAACAATGAAAATTTAGTGATTCCCATGTAAAAACCAAACAAATTAAGATGTCCTTGAGCTATACACATGAATGCAAATTAGTGATGGATTTAACTTTAAGTCTAGGAAATTTCACTTGTACAGGAATCTTTCTCTGTCAAGTTTCGTGTTTCCTCATGCCATATACGACTCTGATGAATTCAATCACAGAGTCAGAAATCAGACACTGCCCGCACATGGTTAAATATGAATGGCCATTGTGAGATAGGAAACCACTAGCTACATTGACATGATCATCATCAATTCATAATGTGAATTACTTGTATGAATTTAATGAGGATATGAGATTACAGTCGCTAACTTCAAGTTCACGCGCGCTCGCTCGCACGCATCCCGGCCTACTGTCGGTATGCACTTGTATTGTGCAGCGGTTTGCCGTGAAACCTGTGAGAAAGTGTATACTAATGTCTTCATTTTGTAGGAAAAGATAGACGAAGATTTCCTTTTGCGACAGCCACCTAAAATTGATCTTATTACAGCTCTATAGCCAACATTCTCTCTTCTCTCCTTCCATTCCTCCTTCAATCTATTCATACTCTTGCATGCTGTCCACCCAAGCAAACACTCTGGCCCGAATTCACAAAGGAGGTTCGTCGACAAACCTCCTTTTGTTTCGACAAACCTCCTTTTGTTATTTACAAACCAGGTTTGTAAATCGCATATGACGTACATAAACCTCGGTTTGTCGACAAACCTCCTTTGTAAATTCGGGCCTCCGAGTCTGACATAATATTGCACAGAACATCACATCTCATCCCGGCCCCCCCCCCCCACTCCGAGAACGGACGGACCCCATGCGTGTTACCAAAATGTCCGGCTCGTAACATAAAAAAAAGGTCGACCCGTATTGACTTTAGGCTACACACCAGACTTTTGCTAAAAAGGGGGGGGGGGGGGGCGGGGGGGGTTGCTGAAAGAGGCTTGTACAACAAAAGAAAAAGGTCGACCCGTATTGACTTTATACACACCAGACTTTTGTTGAAAAGGGGGGGGGGTCGCTTGGAACACGCATATGCGTACCCTAAATAACACTGAGTGGGGGGGAGGGCCGGGTATCTCACAAACTTCGAACTTTTAAAGAAACATGGTCTCTTTGGAAACAGGCAAGAAAGATAACGACTTTTTCTTTTAAATCATGACTGTAGTCTAGAGGTTCCATGTCAGCTCCCCTAATGTCAGCCCGCCCCCTTACAAAGTCGCCCTCAATTGGTCATGTCGCCTCCCGATTTTTTTTGCCGATTTTGGGATTCTTGGTCAGCTCGCCCCCATTTTTTTGGTCAGCTCGCCCCCTAATTTGTTGTTTTAATTTGATGTCTTTTACAAGTCAAAGTCAAGCCATTTTTAGTTCCTGGCATCTCAGTACTATGATATTACTAAATATTGAAAATTTTCCATTGTAACTGCATATTTTCGAGGATATTTGCATCTAAGTTTCCACCAGCTTACGTGCTACCACATCACTCTCTCAATACCCCTATTGTCTCCTCTCTGTCAGTGCTGTGCTGCGGAGCGGGGAGACCCTCTTTATGGCTTTTTGGCTAGCTCACTGTCTTGTTACTCTCACTCTTTCTCTCCCCCCCCCCCCCCCCCCCCCCCTCTCTCTCTCTCCCTCCCCCTCTCCCTCTATCTCTCTTTCTCTCTCTCCTATCTCTCTCCCTCCCCCTCTACCCCCTCTATCTCCCCGTTTCTCACTCTCCTTCTTTCACTCTCTCTCTCTCTCTCTCTCTCTCTCTCTATTTCTCTGGTATAACTTCCTAAATAAAAGGGTGACATGTGAATGCATTTTTGAATAATGTCTATAGCATTTTACTTTTTTTTAAACTAAATCAGATTTAATTATACAAAATCCTGTTTGACTTTTTAACAATTCCCAAAATGATGCACATTATATCGAATATTGTAATGGCAAACTTTTACCCATGTTTTTATGCGAAACTTATCTTATTTTTATGCAATATTCTACATGTACCTTTTAGTAAATTGGCCCAAATACAAAATGTTCTGCATTTTACCTATACAATGTATAATTTGTTTAAATCATTGTAGCATCTATTTGATTTTATAATTCCTGGATTTGGTTTATGTTGTTGTTTCTGTTTCTGTTATTGAAGAAAACACCATACCATACCATACCTATCTGACTATGCATTTTCCAACCAAAACATTTAATTCTTTTGAATATCAAAAATGTATCACTATTCATATATTGTATAAGTTCAATATATAATTTCATTGCAAATATGGTAATACAATTCAGATTTCTGTATATGTACCAAGCAATTTGCCAAGGTCGTTGAAGCACAATTATGTACAAAAGAATTGCAATTTTACTACCATAATGCTATACCATGCATAATTTTTTACGTGTAATTTTACTTTGTCACTGATGTATACTTTGTAAAAGAAACTAATTCGGCTCTCGGGCCGCGAATGTTTTTTAATGAAATAAACCATTTTAAATAAATAAATAAATAAATCGTTCTGGCTGGCTTAGTGACGGAACTTAAGGGAGTATCCACAGGCTATAGGGATAATAAGGATTTTATAGATTGGCTTTCCTTAGCTTTTCTCAAGTATAATTTGTACACGCAAACAAATTAGAGCATTTTCAGATCCCTTTTTAATCCCATAGTTTGTGTTCACTACTACAAAACCCATATACTAGAACGGAGTCACTAGAACGTGTCGTCATGAGATAGTTGTAAAAGTTTAAAAATAGAAATAGAAGAGAATGTCTCTACATTGAATTAAAAGTGAGCTATAATTGATATGACTTATATAAGTTTATTATGTAGCAAATAGATCGAAATAAAAGCTTTCGGCGGTAGACCCAAATGAACGAAACGTTATCTAATTTTACTCTCAATTCATTCTATATAAGTGCGTGATTTTGTTTAAAGAATATTGTAAGGGACGACCATGCGTGACCAACATGAACACCTGCTCATCTTTTCAAGTATTCGAAAGCACTATAGGTTCCAACCTTAACCTGTATAATAATTTGTGTTTATTTTGCATATAGATGTCACTTTCTTTTAATCTGTGCACAAATAAAAAGCAGTTATTCTTTCAAATATACCTTATTGTATGTCGCGGCGCTTTTGTCCTTCATTATTTTAAAGCGCGCGGAGGATAAAAGCGCTGAAACAATAATAATAACAAAGAAACATTTTTGATAATTCAAACAATGATTAAGAGTCGGCATGGGTGTCGATCTGTAACTGATACCTATTCATCAGGGGGGATGATCTATTCATTCATTCCCCCCCCCCCCTGATGAATAGGTACTACGTAAGGATCGACACCCATGAGAGTCGGTACAACGAATCGTCTTCTTTGTTCTTTCTCTAATAATTTAATGAAACGTCAAAGCTTCCGCGCTTCACGCGGGAGGGGGAACTTAAATTCAGACAAGGATTAAGAGTCGAAAACCGTTCTCTAATAATTTAATGAAACGTCAGCACGGTGAGGGAAACGGAATTCAGACAAGGATTAAGAGAAAAATATCATAATAATAAATACAGTACAGACTACGTCCAACTTTCCATCTCCCGCCAACCCACTCTCTTCCCCTCTCTCCCTCTCTCTGTCTATGTCCATCTTCATCTTTGTCCATCTTCATCTTCCATAATGTTGTCTATTCCGCCATTTGCTTGTATCCCGGCATCATCCCTTCCTTGAGATTAATTATTATAACATATTCCTGATGGTATACGTCGGACATTATACTTTAGCGAAAAGATGTAATCAAACCAACAGACCAACTAAAGAACAAAATCAGAGCGGGGGGGGGGGGGGGGGGGGGGGGGGGGGGGGTGATCGGAGGGGAGACAAATATCATAACAAATACAGGTCTATACAGGCTACGTCCAACTTTCTAACCCCCCCCCCTCTCACATATACCTTTTATTTAGTTTAGGGAACGAAATAGAGAACCAGCGGCTGATAATGTCGAAATGGGAAGAATATTACTGTAAAATTATAAAAAGTAAAACCTTTGAATGTAAATCTCTGTTGCATCAAAATAAAATGAAACGTTTATCACATTATACTGTAGCACAAAATAGTTATCAAAAAGAAGGTGGACAACATTATAATAGAAAGAATGAAACTTTCTCTTTTATTTACAAACGTATAAATAGCATAAATATTAAATAACCTGCTTCTGACCGCTGCGCTAGCGTACTGCCTTTGTACGTAGGTGGCGACTGTGTATAGCCTATAGGGGGCGACTGTGTATAGGAGGCGACTGTGTATAGGAGGCGACTCGACCACACAATTTGGGGGCGACTACGTTAGGAGGCGACTGTGTATAGGAGGCGACTGCGTATAGGAGGCGACCGGCTTGGGGGCGACCTGACCAGACACCAGTCTAGACCCCTAGTAATTTATTGTCGGAGTCAACTCAAGGGTCCAAATTGTTCACAGTTGTGAACAAGCGCCGAGCGCAAGCTGAGTATAAAAAAAAGAAGAAGAAGAAGGTACAGTAGTTAAGTTAATACTAAGTTTGCATGCTGCCAAGGCCAATGATAACTGATATGCCAGCGAAAATGCGACATGCATATGCAGAGGCGGATCGGAGGAGGACAGAATGCAGAACGAAGCCGAAGGTAAGGCAAGGCAAGCGCAAGGACATGTCTGCAGTGAGAACACGATCAATCAGCTCATCTTTGAGTTTGACAATGCTGTATACTGTAGACCTACTCTTTAAATTACTTTAATTGTCCTAGATCTACTACCTAATCTGATCAACGTAACATTCTAGTCAAACACCAACAAACACTCAAATATGAAATAAAAGTACAAATATTAAAAGGTTCACCTGTAGCATCAAGTCAACAAGGCAGGTTCCATTACATTAGCAGCACCGTAAACTCGATCTCGTACGCAAATTCTGTACCAAAATATTACCGGAAATGCAATGCACGATACATATCTAGCGCCATCTCAATTTCGAATGGCCATTTTATTATATTTTCATGCTAATGCAATTTTACTGTAGTCCCGCGTACGTCTGTAGGTTGCATTATCAGTTTTTGCAAGCCTGTGTAACTGATCCTTGTTAAAATTCGACCTACACTGACTTAGATATGGCTAACCAGCAAAATATCGCTGTCCGTGGAGTTGGAAGGAGACACAAATGGGCTATTGACTTCACTTCAAGGTAATTTCAAGATATTCATGTTTTTTTAGTAGAAATTAAACTTCTAAAGCCAAAAAGGTTTGCACAATTTGGGGAAATTTTGAAAATTGGATGGAGAGTAATTCTTTACAATTTTGATATATTTGGATGCCCCTGTGGATGTTTTATAACTTATAAGCTCTATAAAATTCAGCCCCAAAGCCCTTCTGCATTTGAGAAAATAAATGATCCAAAATTTACCTGCGGTGCTCCCGGTAAATCATGTCAATATTTCAAAAAGCGCCCAGTCTAATTCTATGGTCTAGATCTATGCCTCGTTGACACTTGCCCGCAATTTGTTCCCGCACTGCCCCGCTCTGTGGCGTGCCAATGCGTGCAATTAGTGGCTCGCAGCGGCACGCAGGGTCACGTCTAATTTACAAATAGTTTACGCAATGCGTAACCACCAGGACACGTTTTCGTACAAGTGTAGACTATGCGCATGGCATGCGAAAACTGCGCGGGAAGTATGTGCAGCCAATGTGCAAATTGTGTGCAAATTAGTCATTAACTAATCATGAACATGCCTGCCACTAGGCCATCGGACAGGCATCGGCGTGCACTGGCCCGACTAGGCAGCGCATGCCATAGGGTGCGCATAGTTCACGAAGTGTTCAAGAACGTTGCCAAACAAAATTGTTGTGCCAAAATTTTGAACATTTTGAAAATTCTGTCACGCATTTCACGCACGGCCCGCATCCTCCCGCACGCTTCCACGAATACTTCCCACATTGGCACGCAAGAGTATGTGTTTATGCGCAAACTATGCGCAAACCAAAATGCGGGCAAGTGTCACCGGGGCAATAGTATACAAATAACGCACGTCCCAGAGTGCAATAGCGGTGAATGCAGTACGCGCGAGGTTTCTTTAGATTGGTGCCGCTCTGTGCAACGAGCCGCTTGCGGCGAGTTGACAGTGCGAACCATCTGAAGAAACCGAGCGTTTACTGCATTCACCGCTATTGCACAACAGGGTCAAGTGCGTTATTTGTTTTATAAAATAGCGACACAAATAGCAAAAACGAAACTTTAGATCTAATAAGTTAGAGTCTACGAGAGTTCGATCTAGATCTAGATCTATAGAGTTATGTTGGTTCTACTTCTAATTAGACTAAGACCTTGCAGGCTTACCAAAAAGTCAATGGGATTCATTGCCTTGATTAAAAATAAAATCCATACAGTGGGTCTAGAGACGAGTCTACATCAGACAGCTGAAATTCCTGGCTTCATTATAAAATCCAAAAGTCAAAACAGGCCTAAATCCAAGGCAAAAGTAAAATAAAAATTTGCTTTTTAATAATACCCCGCTGGCCGCTCTAGCTAGCTAGCTACGCGTACGTTGCGCTGGGGATCATGGTGGAGCGTACAATATTAGCTACGCGTAGCCTACAATAATTGCAATGCAACTCGAGGGAGCGCGTACTACACGTACGCGCGCGCACTGGATCTCCATGGTCACGCGTACGCACCGTGCAATATAACTTTTTACTGCGCTTTTTCTGCACTCATTTCTGCAAAATCGTGCTTGCATCAAAATTTTTTCAATGTCATGTGACGCGTATTGACCAATCACGATGCTTAAAATACTAGAGCCATTTTATAATCTAGCTTAGCTGCCATTAGTTTTACTATCCTGGGTGTGTATCAAAAATAAAAGCTGTGCTATTGACAAAACATCCAATTGTTAATTTATCTTTTTTCTTGATGAGCTACTTCACATCTAATTTCAACAATGTACATGTAGGTTTACCCTCATGCATGTTGTGTGTCCAGGCAGGTTGGTAAAGTAGACAGTAGTCTATATTTCCAACAGTTGATGTGGTTAACCTGTTTACAGGAAATCAATTTAATTTCAGAAATCTTTGATTTATAAGGCTTTCGTAAATCGTAAATCGTAAATGACAATAATTCTATGGTGTATTTTGTTGCATACCGTATTGTTTTGTTAAATCTGTGAAAGGCAAAAGTGAGAACACATTTTTTGAGCATCCGGACACACAGCCCTTGTTCATAATACTCCCCTCGGTGTCGTTTTGTTATGTTGTGCTTAAACCAGAAATACAAATTCTTCATCAATCCAAATTTTTACTTTGGTGCTTTCTACTTGTTCAAAATAAGATTTGTGAATTTACCATATCAATCAGTGATTTCAAGTACAGTGTTCGGTGTTGGTGTTGATGTTGAGAGCATGGAAAGGCTGCTGAACTGAGCTCCAACTCGACGGTCGATACTCAGTTCAGCAGACGACATTCAGCACCAGCCCTCAACACAGACTGCCAGAAATGCATCATATTTTCTGAGGTCAACCTCAACACCAGCATGACTTTAAGTTGGTGTTGGTGTTTTCACAACACAACACAACACCAACAAAATTTTGAAGAATTCAGCATATTTTTTCCGAGATTTTTGAGAAAAAAATTAACGTGAATGTTTGATAATTTGAATGAGCTTTAAACGTACATTTATTTCACCCTCATTCAGGCCAAGAAGTGAGAGGCAACTGCAAGCCATTGCAGATCATCCTTCCCCGATTGGCTACACTGAGCGTTCACTCCCAGACCTATCGATGCATGATACAGATCATGCTCTCGTTGTTAAGGTAAATGCCATGTGTTTCCTTTAACCCTATTTAGCCCGGGGGGGGGGGGGGGGGGGGGGCTTCGATATTTTTCTCGATAATTTTTTAACGCAAACAAATCTTGCACTGAAATTTTGTGACTATTTTCTTTCGAGTCTTGCGCATCTTTTGAAAGAAATTTTTTGAAAATCGGACCTACCATTGCAAAGTCACGTATCCTTTTGTCTTTGCATGTCAGCCTGAAAATAGCTCATTTTTGTGATTTGTGTACAAAACATATGGAAATCTCATTTTTCAAATAAAGAGATAAAACATTGGTTATTTGGTCTTGTTTATAGTTTAGGTGTTTATTTAGGGGTCAAAATAGTTGAATTATAGTTGGAAATGAAATAAAACAACAAAAACAATAAAATACATAAGTTAAAAAAAACAGAGAAATACATAAGAAATTATCAAAACAATAGATAACATAAGGAATAACCCTGGTTGTTCAATTTTTTGTGTTGTATTATTATTCCAAATGGTCTAACAAATATATGTAGGAAGAAAGAATGATTAAATATAAATAATGTCTGATTTATGGGCAAAAATGTGAATTTGATGACCTATTTGCATAAATTACCATAAATATGCAAATGAGTGAATTTTTCACAAAATTGAAATTACCATAGTATTCTATACACTTCACTTGACATGTTTGCAAATTTTCGCGGCGATCAGTCATTTCACGGCCGAGATCATAGAGGGCGGCCTTAGAAGCCCCCCCCCCCCCCGGGCTATGCAGTTTCAAAATAGCCCGGGCTAAATAGGGTTAGAGCCCCACTGTACTGGAGCAAGTAGCAAGTAGGTTGTAGCTACTTGCTCCCTCTTCATGGAAACAATGAATAATCGGTGACCATTGGTCCCCCATGATCCTCTTTTTCTTATGTTAATTGAGAGCTGAGTCGATGAGATGGCCACCTGTCAGTGACCACCCTGGTTGGTCTAATCCCTCCTAGCCAAACTAGTCCAGACGGCCTTGAGACGAGCCTTATTTGAACCATCAAATCATTAAAATTGCTAGGTAAAGAAACTTTGTGAGAGAATTATTAACTGTATTAGTTAGATTCTCAAGTCGTAAAGAAATATCTAAATATTTTGAAAATTAATATATTACCAAAGTTAGTATGATGTTTATTAACCTTTTTATGTACTCGGACATGTTCACCTTAACTGCCAATGGAACTTCAGATGAATTTGCACAGTTTCAAAAACTGTCAATCATTACAAGCAAAGAGGTATGTAATCAAAGTCACCAGATTTTATACACATTGCACGATGCATGAATACCAATAGATTGCATCATTGCAGTGTCCCTAGAGCTAAAATTCTTTACTTTCTGTGTTTCTTTTTTCCATCAACCCCACAGAAATGTTGGGACATAGCACTAGCACCCATGAAGCAACTGCCAATGAACCTGTTCTTGATGTACATGGCAGGCAGCTCTATCTCAATGTTCCCTATCATGATGGTAGGCATGATGCTCTGGCGACCGATCCAGGCTCTCATGGCTATCAAGACAAGTGAGTTTATTCTTTAGATTGCAATGTATCCAATAGCTACCGTAGAATGTGGTTAATAATAGATGGAAGGGAGGTAGTGAAGGTAGATGATGAGGGGGATGGGGGCTAATGTGGTTGTTTGATACATTGTTCTGTTCATGATGCTTTTTTAATATTGCTCAGTTTTTGCTGGAATTACTCCGTTTTTTCCTCCAAATTACGGTAGTATGTTTTTTCTTCATAAAATATGTTTTTTAATTTTTTTTCTTCTTTTTTTAACATACCGCACGTCAAACAACTGCCCTAAAATGTTGATTTGATCACAAATTCAATAGAAAACTAAGTTTAAAACATACTTGAGAAAAATATTCTCAAAAAGAATGAAATGCTGATAATACCAGAATAACCACAAAAAAATACCCATTGTTAGCAATGCTTACATTTGTTTCTCCCGTCTTGTTTTTCTCCTTAAATCTGCTCCACAGCATACAAGATGCTGGAAGGAAGTCCTCAAGCACTCATCCAAAAAGTGGTATATTTTATAGCAAACTTGCTCGGTATAGCCTTAGCTCTTTACAAGTGTTCCTCTATGGGTCTGCTACCGACACACTCATCAGATTGGCTGTCATTCTTAGAACCTCAACAGGTGAGTAGTTTGTAGTCAAATATTGTCATTAAGGCTGCGACGAGTACTCAAATACTTGAGTACTTGCACTGTTGATAACTACTCGAGTACGATTTCTCATACTCGAATACTTGGCCACCATTTTTTTTTTTTACCCGTGCACCTGGCACTGTCCAGGCCGACGCTTACCCCTGCCCGAGAGAGCGCCGGCATGGTACCTTTGGTAAAAATGTTTCCCAGCTCAATTACTGTCAACTCACCACTCAGAAACTGGGACCAAATGTTGGGATTTCTGTTTGGACTTGGAGGTAAAGTCATCTTTGGTTTCAAAAACAGCATTGTTTACTATTATTTGTATTATTAAATCAGTGCCTTTAACTGCAACTCATAGTAAAATCGTGTGAGTTTTCGGAGAGATGGACCTTGAATACTTCTACTGTTGTATGGTGGTGGCAACAACAAAAAACTTATTAAAAAACTTGAGTACCTCATTACACGGTTCATACCTGCCAACCACCCCGATTTAGGCGGAGTTCCTCCGCTTTTTACATACCAACTCCGAATTCCGAGTGCATGCCTCAAAACTCCGATTTTTTTAAAATATTTATTTAATTTTTTTTTTTTTTTTTTTTTTTTTTAGAGTGTAATGCACTTGGAGAGTATATAACTATTATGTTTGTATTTTGAAATGTAAAGCGCCTTGAGCATGTTCATGTAAAGGCACTCAATAAATAAATACCAATATGTATGTATAAGACTAAAGCATAACACAGCACTGATACCCAGATCACGCCGACATCCGCGCTCGCGCTCATAGAAGATGTACACAGCGCAGCCCGAACGTGATCGTTAGTTCCGCAGTCACCCCCTGTGTACCCCCCCCCCCCAATCTACGGGCTACTACCCCAATCCTTCGGTGGTTCGCGACCTCGTAGTCCATCCAGAAAAATTTACTCCTAATTTCTCTTGTCTCAGGTTGGCAGGTATGCACGGTTATGCATAGCCTTAATTGTCATTATTACCATTTTCATTCATTGTAATAGTTGTCTCCATAGATGATCATCATTATGACCACTATCATCATCAAATATCAATCATCTTCATAGCATTCATAAATACCATCATGAGTAGTGTTATAATATTAATCATTATTAAAACGCCACTATTCTAATCATCAATTATCAACCATTATCATCACCATGGTAAGAGCGGCAACCATCATCAGAGGTTGCGTTTATCTAGGAAATTTTTGGCTAGAATCAGGTTTCTCAAACGTCTTTCAGGCAAATTTAGAAGTAGATAAACGCAAAGCCTTTTTCAAACGTCTTTAGATATGGGCATATCAAAAGACGCAAAAAGGTGCGTTTTGTATGTGACATACAGCCAGAATCACGTTTCTGAGAGGTCGATAAACGCAAAGCTGTTTTGAACGTCACATACAAATAGGACCACACAGGTGTTGTGTACAAGCATGTGTGTGAATTTGACCTCCGAGAAACTGTCTGCTTCCCGGGTCAAAACAGCTGGGCAGACACAAGGCCTTTATTTTGAATCGTGAAGAGTAGATAAACGCGACATCCCGCAAATCACGATCGTATAGTGGGGTATGATAGTGGGGTTCGATAGTGGGGTACGATATGTACATATCTAGTGGCAAGCCTAGATAAACGCGCTCACTATCATTGCTGTTGTCATGATAGTGATCATCACAAACAATTACCATCATCAATTATCAGTCGCATCATCAATTATCAGTCGCATCATCATCATCATCATCATCATCATCATCATCATCATTGTTAGTGTCAGTATTGTTTATGTTACCCTACAAGGAAATTTCATTACTTTCAATTTGTATTGTGGTTGCTGTGTATCAAAAGTTGTTAGTTTTGCATAAAAATGATTATTCTTCAGAGAACTTGTTAGTATCTTTATCAGTTAAGAGCTATTTTATGAGTTTAGTCATTTGTATTTATCTTTGTGTTTTTGTTGCTAGTTACTTTAATTCACTTTTTTTGTTTTGTTAATTACCTAATTGAATACCCTTTCTCTTTACCTCAACCTTCTCTCTCCATCTCACCCCCCCCCCCCTCTCTCTCTCTCTCTCTCTCTCTGTCTGTCTGTCTCTTTCTCTGTCTCTCTCTCTCTCTCTGTCTCACTCTCTTTCTCGTTATCATCCTTCACATTTTGTATACAGAGAGTGGAGTATTCTGGAGGTGGAATGGTTTTGTGATAAGGCCAGCATCAAGCCGTGAATGCCTAAACAGTAACAAAGAGTTTGTATTTGTATGTCCTGTCGATATGAAAATTAGGTGTCACTGAAAATCATCACCCATTTTGTGCACGTAGACCTGGGCCTTGTTTCATACAACCCGTTATGAATAACAAGGTACAGTAGTTTGTGTAGGGTTCTGAAATGGTGGCATTTGATTGGATGTGAGTTATAAATTGTGACAGTTGCCATGGGTAACAGGTTTGTGGAACAGGACCCTGTCAGGACTTCTGAGAGAGCCTAGAAATTCATGCGATCAAATGTGAATAGTGTGACATTTTTTGTCTGATAGATTAAAATGAAATTCTACCTTGATTTCTCTTAATAAAATTAGACTATATATCAGACAAACAGTTGCTGAAATCTGAACAATATATATATATATATATATATGTATGAATTTTTCAACTCAGAAATTACAATACATTTTAGAACTTAAAATGATGATTCATTAATGTTACTCATACTGTGATGGTTTGTTGGACAACTATCCCATTTCCTCCCACAAACAAACTGACTATTAAAGGCCCATTTCAATCTCTCATTAACCTGTGTCTCTGAGGTACCTATATATATATGTCAGACAAAAAGTTGCTGAAATATGTACAATATACATATGTATGAATTTTTCAACTCAGAAATTACAATACATTTTAGAACTTAAAATGATTATTCATTAATGTTACTGTGATGGTTTGTTCGACAACTATCCCTTTTTCCTCCCACAAACAAACTGACTATTAAAGGCCCATGTCAATCTCTCATTATATATTATATCCTTGTATTTTATGAAATTAATGAATTGAACTGAATTAACCTGTGTCTCTGAGGTTCCTGCTTACAGACTTCTCCACATGTTACAGAGGTTCGATTGCTGGTTAAATGTCTGTAAAATCACACAAGAGATTCTTCTCATTATCTTGTTGCTGGACTGGTGAATAATTTCAATAGTGTCCAGACCTTCGTAGGCATGAACTTTCAAACAAGTTGTAAGGGGGCTAGAAAACTTTGTTTTTTAAATCAATGTGGCTTTTCATCTCATGGGCTTTTGGGCTCATGGGCCTTTGGTCAATGGTCTCATTTTGGGCATTTGTAAAGGTATTAAGTGTTGCAAATGAGATACCTGTATTACATATTCATTCTTTTTTTCTGGTTCAATAGTTTATCGTAAATTTTGAGAACTTCAAGACAGATAATGATTGTAAGCAGTAATTTTTCATTACAGGAGATTATCACATTTTGGATTATACAATTTCCTGTTTATATTTATTGATAGCATGTAAAAGATTGAATTCTTTGTTTTGTGTTATATGTCTAGTGAATACTTTGAATGTTCGACTATTAAGCCAGATTTTATCAGGGTGGAAACCATCAGAAATATATGTTGAATAAAAGTGAGAAAGTTTCTTACGTTTTGAAGGTGTTGATGTATGTCAAAGGATTTTCCCAGGAGCCCAGTAATGTCATGATCAACAGTCATGGGTATGTACAGTGGAAACTCATTACAACGAGGTCCTTAAGACAAAAGAAATTATCTTATTATATCAGGGTAAAAGAACAAAAGGATATAAAGAGCTTGGACCAGCAAAATCACCTAGTTACAACAGATACCTTGTTATTTCAGAGATCTTTATATTGAGGTTCCACTGTACCTTGTATTTTTTTTAAATATCAAACATCTTGTGCAATGATATTTACCCTTACTATATCTCCCTGAATATCATTTATATGGCACCAAAATGTACTAAATATTTTCACAAACACAGTGATTTCAACTTTTATTTTGAAACTAAGATGAGCTATACCTCACATATATAGAATAATTGACTAGTTTTTGTGACATTATTAAAACTTGTTAAAGTAATTTCAATGTTATTATAACCTTACAAAATTTGAGAAAAGAAAGACTTGTCTCCTTATTTTGTTATGAACTTGCACATTAAGTACACAAACAACATTATTTCCATAATCATAAATAATATCTCCATCTAACATCATTATCCTGTCATTGTATGCAGTATGAATTTCATTGTCTATACAATTTGTACATATCTTTTGCATTATATTTAAGATATGACATTCTTTGAGATGAGTATTACATTTTCTTGTTAAAGGAATGCACAAACTTGTGGAAATGATTTAATAAAGATGTACTGTCTATGGATATGTGCTGTATAAGTTGTTTCATTTTTACTGCGTTTTGTGACTGGGTAAAGATGTTGAACTATGCATAGAGAAAATGTATTTTTTGTTAGTTGTTTTGTGTTTTTTTTTTTGGGGGGGGGGGAGGGGGGGTTCTTGAAAACATGTATTTGAAAATTCCAGGCAGAAATTCATGGGTTAATTACATTTAAAAAACATCCTTGGGGGATAATGCCAAAATTTGGTACAAACTTAAAGGTATATGCCATAAAGAATATTGTTGTAATACATTGGGAGTGTTTCACAAAGACTAAGATTGACTTTAACTTGACTTAACTATGGCAGGCTGTTTATGCAACTGTTCTCTCACCATTAATACTTGCATTGGTCGTTCAAGGGACGTACGGTCACATATATCTACAGAATTTACACTTTTTGATAGTTCATTATTGAAGGAAAAAATGTTATCTAATAATCATAATTGAGAGACCGAAGGACTGGTGAGAGCCATCAGTGGCATGAACGGCCTGCCAAAGTTAAGTCCAACTTAAAGTCAATCTTTGTCTTTGTGGAATACCCCCATGGTCTAATTGTTCACAAAATGTCCAAGATGTAATCATCAAACAACACAAGAAAATGGATGGTAAACTTGGGGGCCAATGTAATAACCCTGACTCAAAATTGTTTTAATAAACTCGTATAGGTGGAATTATTTCAAATGCATAATAATTTTTACTGTTTTTGAAAATCAAAGTCTGCTATATTTATGCCTCCGTTACGAAGTAGCCGGAGGCATTATGTTTTCGGGTTGTCCGTCCGTCCGTCCGTCCGTCCGTACGTCTGTACGTACGTCTGTACGTACGTCCCGTTCTCGTGATCACGTTATCTGAAGAACGGATCAATGGATTCCTACCAAACTTTGGTCATATATGTATCTAGCAAAGTCGATGAACTGATTAGATTTTGGGGTCACGAGGTCAAAGGTCAAAGGTCACAGGGCTCATTATGTATGCAAAAACAGCTCGTGATCGCGTTATCTGAAGAACCGATGGATGGATTCCTGCCAAACTTTGGTCATGTATGTATCTTGTAGAGTCGATGAACTGATTAGATTTTGGGGTCACGAGGTCAAAGGTCAAAGGTCACAGGGCTCATTATGTATGCAAAACGGCTCGTGATCGCGTTATCTGAAGAACCGATAGATGGATTCCTGCCAAACTTTGGTCATGTATGTATCTTGCAGAGCCAATGAACTGATTAGATTTTGGGGTCACGAGGTCAAAGGTCAAAGGTCACAGGGCTCATTATGTATGCAAAAACAGCTTGTGATCGCGTTATCTCAAGAACCGATTGATGGATTCCTGCCAAACTTAGGTCATGTATGTTACTTGCAGAGCCGATGAACTTATTAGATTTTGGGTAACGAGGTCAAAGGTCAAAGGTCACAGCGCCCATTATGTATGCAAAAACAGCTTGTGATTGCGTTATCATTAGAACAGATTGATGGATTCCTGCCAAACTTAGATCATTTATGTATCTTGCAGAGCCAATGAACTGTGTAGATTCTTGGTTCATAAGGTCCAAGGTCATGGGCTCATTATGTATGCAAAAATAGCTTGTGAACGCATTCTCATTAGAACTGACAGATGGATTACTATTTAACTCTGGATATCTTGCAGAGCCAATGAGCTGAGTAGATATTAGGATCATGAGGTCAAAGTTCAAAGGGTCATATATGTATATGAGAAATTGTTTGTAATCACGATATTCTGAGAACCTGTTAATGGATTACAATTGAACTTGAATTTGAAAAATTTCTTCTGTTTTGGTTTGTAAAATTGCTCTATGACGGAGGCATCATTTTCGACTGCGCGCAGTCGAATTCCATCTAGTTTACTTATAGTTCAGAAAACCCAATTTGTACATACATTAAAACGCAGGATTAAACTTACCCAAAATAAAAACATGGATGGGAAAAAAAAGTTTTTCATTTGAGTGGTGCGGCTCTTTGGAACTGGTCCATTGTGTTGTTTTTTGTTTCTTTTCTTTTGTTCAAAAATGTTGTAACTAAATTTAAGTTGTCTTGATTTGTATTGTTTACATCAATATGTTTGTAAATTTTGTATTTATGTTGTAGGGCCTCCATATGGTAAATAGTATTTAACCACCCTAGTAAAACAAGACTTAAACATAAATAAATTAATAAAATAAATAAAAATATTATCGTCTGCAAAGAATAATAGTACCTTAATCACAATTCAAGGTACCGGTAGTTTCAATCTTTTGTTTTTAATCACAGAAATGAGTAAGGGGGTATGTATGACGAATGTATCAAATATTAACTTGATTACAAAATTGTATAATGCGAAAACCTACCTACAAAACTGTATCAGAGTTTTGTTGTTTACAATCTGAAATCAGCCAATCTTTTGGAAATTCTGAAATTGTTGAAATGATATAAATGTATCACAGTGCATGAATAGATAGAATTTAAAACAAAACCTATAAATCTTTGGATTGATAGACCTATATGCTCATTTATAAGTGCAGGGGAAAGTATTGTGTTGAAGTTTATTATTTAAACTTTTTAAAACAATGTTTGACCCATTTCCGGTTTTTGCAAACAGAAGTGGTAAAAAATCTTGTTGAAATAGCCAAATTTTCATAGATCATTCTGCATATTTCTTGTTCTTTATCAAAATTCAAAGCTGCACGGCTTACACATCATTTATAGCAGAAATTACTTTTTTTAACTCAGCTAGGAAGGATTTTCGTCGGAAGAAAATTTGTATGATAAATCATATTTTCTATCAATACACTAGCTGGCCTAAACTAGCCTCTTTTTTACTAGTCTTCTTCTTTCAATTATTCAATTTCAATCTTGAGTGTTCTACGGAATATAGAGTCTATCAAAAATAGCATGCACGGTGTGTGGAATCTGTGGATCGAATGAACGTACGTGCACTATGCATGAGCAGCTAGACAAAATGGTAAACAATTCGGAAAGTCGGAGTCGCCACAAGAATGGAGAAAAATGTGGAAGTGAACGCCAAAAGCTTGCTGATGAATTGTCTTTTTTGGCAGGTAAGTATATTCAGAAGCTAGAGTCTCACGGAAAGGATTGATAGTCCTGAATCTTCCACGTATTGATGATTAAGTATTCATAAGAAAGATTAATAATTTTTTGATTTTTTAGAAATTAGTCCCACGCGTTGAAAACTGTGTCGCAATTATTAATGTTGCTGGCTGTAAAGTATTCTGAACAAAATGTATGTGTTGGGACTCTCAGGAGATCATTAGATCTAAAGGGGAAGAGCATCCCGATATTTACTTAGATTTATTTATAGCAGGAAAATTAGAGAAACAGATCGGTGAAATATTGAGCTAAATCTGAGAAGAAATGAGACAGTTTTCAATTTAAATTTGCAGCGCTTGTTCAGAAACCTATCCAAAATTTGACCTGTATCTGTAACTCCGGCGTGGAGATAAAATGAAGTAAATATTCATTAAATGCCCAAATAAGGATCATGATTTAAAAGTTTTTATGTTTATTACCTGTTACGTGTCAATTTTCTTGTTATTTTTGGAGTATTTTTCGGAAAAACATTGATATTAGTATACACTTTTTCACAGGTTTCACAGCAAACCGCTGCACAATACAAGGGCATACCGATGGTGGGTTGCCAGCGGGCGCGCACCTGTATGAAGTTATCTACCGTAATGAGGATCTGAGACATTACGCCCACTTGTGTTTCCATTGGTTTAGAACATCCAAATCTTTGTACTAACTAGTTCAACCACTGGTAGATAAAACAAAAAGGCATAACTTTTCTCATCAGGGAAACATATAAAAGAGAGAGAAAATGATAAGTTGAGGATTTACTTAACTATTTGATCCTTTTTCATGGTCCTGTATGCTTCTTTCTTTTTTGCAGGGTTGATAAGTAAACATAAAGAGAAGCCTGCTGCTAAAGAGAGTAAATATAATGCATCAGGAAACAGCTCAAACCAGTTTTCATGGACCAAGGAAGAGGCAAGCTCATCATCCCAGTCTTCCAAAACTTCTGCCTTTCACAAGCAAGGTCAAAGGTCACAAGGTCCTAGTTGTTTTCCCTCAAAGGACAGCTTAACTTGGAAAAAGGTGAAAGAAAGGCGTGATGGCCCTTTGACTACCTCAGCCACAAGATACAAATATGTTTCAAAGGATGTGCACAGAACAGCAATTGAGAGGGGTAAGAATGCCTCATGTGGCAAAGGTAAAGCTGATGTTTGCAAGGAGGAGAAGCCGTCTTCAGAAACAGCGATTGGTCAACGTCCAGCGCCAAAGCAAAATGTCCAAGCCAGGAGGATAGTGATACCCCCTCAAGGAAGCAAATCATTATTGAAACCCACAAAGACATCTTCAGAAAATTCGAAAGCAGGCCTTCCATCGAGTAAACCTATGTTGGTCAAGTCCGAAGGGATAGGTAAAGCAGATCCGTTAAAGCAAGGTATTACCTCAAGAACAGCAACATCAGTCAAACCTGAGCTGGAAGGCAGTTCATCGGAGTCACACAGACACAGCAATAACAGAAGATATGTAATACCCCCATCTCAGAAAACAAGTGTTGCAAGTGCTTTGAAACCGGTTGCCAACCTTGATGTCCGTCATGGTTTATCAAGGAATGTAGGAAAACAAACCATTGTTGTCAAGCCCTCTCCTTCTCTTTCACAAGCCCAGACAAGTACCGATACAGCTACTAAAATAATCTTGCCAGAGCAGTCAACTAGAATTGTTCAACCTCAGAAGCAGCCTGCAGAGCATCCCAACGCTAAGGTCCTTGCCACTCTTTCCAAAGAATTGGACAAATGCCTTGGGGATATTGCGCGATTGAAAGATGCCAGAACTCAATTAAAGGATGGTAAATCTGTATCCACTGCTGGCATCAGAAAAGCCGCATTTATTAATGTAAGACATACAAACTCTGAAATTAAGTCTCCAGTTGATGGCAATCAAAAAGTCAGGAGTAGTCAGGGATCTATTCTGAAACCTAGCAATACAAAAGAGGAACAGAAAGACTCCAAATGTGAAAAGAATGCAGCTGGAACTGCAAGTAGTGCTGCAGCCACAAGCAGTGATTATAAATGGGTGGCTCCAAAGGTGAAGTCAGAAAAGGTACCTTCTAGTCATGTGAAAAATATCAACAAAACAAATGTGGAGAGTGCAGACAGCCTTACGCAGAAGAAAAATGTGCAAGTTGGAGCTCAGATTGGGACTGGAATGAATAGTCTCAACACAGGATTAAATACTATGACGCAAATCTCTTCTCCTCGGGTAAAAGTTATAAGAACAAGGTACAAAATGAAGAAGCAGTTGTCAACTGCATCAACGCCGTCTTTGATTTCTCGACATAAAGTTGATCGTAGGAACTCGGTTGGTGCGTCTGCTATGAAGTCGACAGAGAACACTAATGTGCAAACATGTGATGTGAAGATAAGTAGATACAGGCTCGTCAAGTCGTCTTCACATCCTGGTGAACTTTCCCAGAAGCATCCGGACACATCTTCGTTATCTCCGCACAAGCAGCAAATTGCCATCAACACAAGATACAAGAAGGTTAAAGGTCACCCGCCTGCATTGGGAAGTCCGGTGAAGCCTGCCATCGTTATTCCTCACCGTTCACAGCTCAAGCTGAACAGGATAAAAACAAAGCTCCCTCATAAGAACACACCAAAGATGGCCTCAACTTCAACTACGACTAGAAAGCAGTCAAGGCATAAGATAGGTAATGATTGCTAACAATTTACATCCACAATAAGTAGATGCCTTGTTGAAAATCTTTAGAACAAAGTTAAGTATTTGAGCAATGTAAAAAAAAATAAATAATGGGAATAGTGTACCCTTAAAGCGAAATTAATTATTTTTGAATGGATTTAACCACATTTCAAACATACAGATATAGCTTTCAAAAAGACTTGCAAAAATATCAGAACTTATTATTTTTTAAGAGGTTTTTTTTATGTGTGCAAAAAGGCTCTAGTGCACTCTTTCCTACAGATGTGGCTTGAAATTATTTGACACCGTAATTGTCACAATACTAAAAGTAAATAATAAATATTTTTTTACACAATAAATCTATGTTGAGCTTTTAATTTTCTTAACAAATGATTATGATTTTCTCTGCCAATCATATGAATCAATTTGCGTCCTAATATTTTGTATTCTTTGTTTACAGATCGTCGTCCTAGAGGGACAGCAGTTGTTAGGAGTCGATTTAAGATGCGGAAGGTTTCCAACAGGACTCCTCGGAAGACGCCCCCAAAGCAATCATCCAACTCGTCTCCTTTTAAGTGGCAAGCCAGGAAGCCGACTCCTCCCCAGCCCGCCACTCCAGATACCTTTATGCGCAGGTATGTATTAAACATTCCTAATGCAAGTTACATTATATCTAACTCGTTCCCTATCAAGTGCAAAGCTTAGGAAATTACCCCTCCAAACTCTGCACCTCAAAAACCTTTTAGGAAACACTACATTACATATATACAAATCATGTCTTGAATCAAATATTTTTTGCTCTTTGCTGTTGTGTAGATTTTACACAATATGTGGTAGGCCTATTTAATGACCACAGTTTGGGGAAGTAAATGAAAACAAACCAGAAAATCCTGTCCTTTCAGTGATGATGACAAAAAATTATGGTTCTTATGTGACTTGGTCCATGGACAGACCTCAGTTTTATTCACATTTAAATGCCCATTTTTTCCTGTAAAGTATCCTACAAGCATCTCACATCGGCAATTTGGGGATGTTCATTGGGTAATCGAACACACCAGTCATGACGAAATCATGCATATATTCAACCAATGATCCATAACAAAATTTCTTCGTGTATGTAGGAACTGTAAGAGGCATTGATCCATGTCTTTTTTTTTTAATACAATTTTTGTCAGTAAAATACAAGTTTTTGGATTAAAGAATACAGTTTTTGGACTCCCGAGGTTGGCAGGCCTGACGTTATTCTTTCTTCTTAGGACATGGTTGGAAAAAAGTTATTATTTCACCTTCCTGATTTAACTCTCAAACAAATTATTGAACACAATATTGCACAGCTGCACACTGATTAATAACGATCTAATTCTTCTTACTATTTTGTTTTATTTGGCAATCACTCAATCACAAGTATAATAGCATGAAGCACAATTGAAATATAATCATTAGTTACATGTAATAGGAATTAAGAGCGCATTTTTGACCTCATTTTCCCCAGAATGAAAGGGCAGAAAAAAGAAAAAAGAAATTCCTATGACCAAAGGGCCTCTGTACCCTTCCTGGGGAAATGCTGTATAAAATTTTGATTCCTTATTCAGAAGTGAAAAAGTATAAAAGTCAGACATGATAATATGGATTGACATAAACTCTACCCCCCCCCCCCCCACCCCCTTCTCTCTCTCTCTCTCTCTCTCTCTATCTCCCTCTCTTTCTCTCCTAATTCATACCCGCAGGAGGATGCATTTTGTCCTCACCCACACACCTGTCTTACTCCGCACACGCTTCCGCCTCATCAACTCGCAAAACCACAACTCAACCTTGACGGGCCTCACCCCAAAGCAACCGCTTCTCAAGAAAACCAGGACAAAACTTATCAGGAAATCAGCATGTGAGCAGTATAGTGTAGTACATTGACCTATTTCTTTAGTTTATTTGTTGGTTTGGGTAATTTTCAAGATCCATGCTGTAGAATGAAGATCTTTATGGAAGCAGAAAAATAGTAAAGCAAGTTGGTAAACATGTGAGATAGGAAAATTATAGATTTCAAAATGTTTATTTTCAACTAATAATTACATGTACATGAAATTATCTCCAAAAATGTGGATCATTTCAGTGTTGTATGTTAAATTTGCAGTTTTAGGAGATGTACATTGTAGATCTCTTGATTATGAGAAAGGGATATGAATGTATATTTGTATGTGTTACCAGCTGATTTTCATATATCTCTTCACCCTATGAAACGTTGAAATAATCCCAACAATCAAAATTGGTATATAATCTGTGGTAGTCTTCTTTTATTCTTACAGCAACTCTACCCAGCCCATCCCAGAAGCACTCAAGATCCCTAGTAGTCATAGCGAAGGGGGTCCACTACCACCAGAGTAGATCAGGGAAGAGTCTTCGGAGAATCTCAGGTTCTTCTCCTATCCTACCAGCATCATCATCTGCCCACAGATGGCCGTCAAATACAAGATGGAAGCAGGGCTCCCTCTCTAGTGTATGGACTGCCAGTGCGCACAGGGTGTACCAAAGGCAGGGTGCAATGAAAGTGTCCAGTACGCAGTGGGTTGCAAAGTAAGTTGATGTAACACACTACCACTTGTGTGTGTGTGTGTGTGTAATTGGGTTTTTACAGATGTATATCAATCAGATTTGATTATTTACGTCTAGTGACCAACCTTTAACGTCACCGTCCGAAAGACGTGACTCAGTTCCAACCTGCGTCCTCGGCTGAATCCGTTTATAACTTCCATCATAGCTGGATTACAGGCGCACGCCACAACGCTTTGTATTTCTGCTTTTATGTGTCTCTTTTTTTTTTGCTGAGAGTTTTCCATGTTTCGATTGGATTGTCTTCTGTATAGTCATCCTGACATGGTCACCCAACAGCTCCTTCCAACTAGTATCTTCATTAGAAATTAAGGATCACTTCAGTTGAAGTTTCACATTGCAAGCAAATGGGAATGTAGTCCGGCTCTTTGTCACAGCATGGACCTAACTATTAAAGTGACATTACCCATCCAGTAAGCTGGCATCCAGCCAATAAGAAGCGCCCACACATTACAACTTTCAAAAGGTCACTAACTTTACTTTCTTATTTTTTTCAGATTTGATGTAACTTTCTTTTAGTAGTGGTAGTATTAGTGGTGGTGGTGGTGGAATTGTAGCGGGAGTAGTAGTAGTATAGTAGCGGTAGTAGTAGTAGAAATTCTATCATCGATATCGTAGCGGTAGAAATAGTAGTGGTAAAAGTAATGGAAGAAGAAGTAGTAGTAGTAGTACTAGTAGTAGTAGTAGTAGTAGTCATATTATTGATATTGCCTATTGCATTGTTATATGTCTTATTCATTATCATTTTATCCTCTGTCTATCCCCATCAGTCGTGTCCTGCGTCGGACTATACAGAGCAAGATCCAGAGAGGCCACAAGGACTTGAAGAGCCAACCATACTGTAAGTTCTACAACCGCTACGGAAGATGCCATCGAGGGGACAAGTGCCCTTACATCCATGACCCAGAGAAGGTGGCTGTTTGCACGCAGTAAGTAGGATCCTGTTTCTTGTCCTTGTTGCCTAAGTCAGAGATGCCAACCGTTCCTCTTTTGCCATATTTGTTCCGTTTTTTTGCTATGAATAGGGCCGTATGTTTTTTGTATGTTTTGTTGCGTGAAAAAAAAAATATTAAAAATTAAAAAAATTATTGATGTTTTTCTTGATTTCCGATCATGGGCTTTGTGTCGTAAGTTTATTATGCACCTATGTCTTCAAACGATGCACGTAGGACGGTGATACGGTCCCCAAACTGCGCACATTACGAACAACCCTCGTGTACTGTATGCATGTCGCGCTCCGATCCGGGTACGTATACGTGGTACTGCCGGGTTTTTTTTAGCTGCTCGATTGGGTGATATGTTAAGGTGAGAAATTTTTTCAAAAATACTGTTTTTTGCTCTTAAGAATACTTTTTTTTGTTGAAGAAGGTTTGCATCTTTGCTAAGTGGTATTTAAAAATGATGGTGGCTTCAAGGGCACACAATGACACTCCCAGCCAGAGCCATCTGTACACAGATTTTGGCCAGCTTGGTTTCACTGGGCCACAACATGGCGTATATTCTTTTGTTTTGTGCTTGCCCAACAAAGCAGTGGTCGCCATATTGTCTCCAACTCGAACCGGGTTGGCCAAACTCTCCTAATCAATGGCACTGCTCCCAGCGAGCTTCAACATTATTTGTATTGTCATGGCCAAGCGGCCACATATGGAGAGCTCTGGCACATCAGGGGCCTGTTTCATAAAACTTGTTATCTCTAAAACAAGTGCTAAATTTCTAGGACAAATTTGCTCTCAGCCAATCAGATGCCATGATTTCAGTAGCTTATAACAGTAGCTTGTAACTTGTTATTGATATCAAGTTTAATGAAACAGGGCCCAGGTACCCATTTACACTTCGATGGAAATTCTAATGTATGATGAGAAAGAACAGTACCAAGGAAAGAAATCTCTAAAGGGTTGAACTGAACAATATAGCAACTTTTTTTTTCTTTAAAATGGCAACACTTGCCCTGAAAAGGGTCACAAGGTCAGTCTTTGTTATCATGCAGGTTGCTTGGAGCATCACAATATAAACTGACTCACAAATCAAACTCTCACATATGCTGAGCTGCCAACCATTCCGTTTATGCCGGAATTACTCTGTTTTATCCTCCAAATTACGGTATTACGTTTTTTCTTCATATTTTTTAATTTATTTACTTATTTATTTATTTTTTTTTTTTTTTTTACATACCGCACATTACCGCACGTCAAACAACTGCCCTAAAATGGTGATTTGATCACAAATTCAATAGAAAAGTAATTTTAAAACATACTTGAAAACATACTTGAAGAGAAAAATATTCTCAAAAAGAATGAAATGCTGATAATACCAAAATAACTACAAAAAAAAATACCTGCTTGTATGGGAAAAACAGCATGAGGAATGAACATTCTGCATGAGAAGTGTTGCGCGTGGTTGTAAGTTTCGTTTTAATGAATTCCTTTTTTCTGCTTGAAATTCCTTTTTTTTTTGCCATCATGGTTCCTTTTTTTGGTCTGCATATGGGGCTATTATTTGCTCCTTACTTTGTCAGTAAACACTCTCCATCTGGGAGGTGTTTCACAAAGATCCTAAGTTGGACTTAAAAATTATGGAGAGCCATTTGTAGCCTTAAAATAAAATATATTCAAAAGTGAAAAATCAAGTATTTTAGACTTGTTATAAATTCCACATCAAGAACATGAAATCTCCTTCATAATAAAAAAAAATATGAATGATTTGAATCAACATTTTATGCCTTAAAAAAAATTACAAAATATTTTCATAGATGCTAAAGACTTTCAATAATTGTTAGGTCCAACTTAGAGATAAGTTCAACTTAGGATCTTTGTGAAACACCCCCTTGATTATTTGTATTGAGAGGACTCGAGACATCATTTAATCAAATACTGTACAAGTCAGCAAACCGATGCAGGTCGTAACAGGGCCTCGTCTTATAAAGAGCTGCGATTGATCCAAATCAATCAAAGTTCCACTAACCAATCACAAGTTTTCAGTCTCCTATCTCTTATGTACATAGTTGCAATTGATATCAATAGCAAATAAGTCGCGCTTGATATCAACTATTTATTAGACGAGGCCCAGATTTTTATTATTCATTTTTCATATAACACCATGTTTTATTTCAATCCTTAAACTTTCTCTTATTTATTTAGATTCCTGAGAGGCACCTGTAAGAAGACAGATGGTTCTTGTCCGTTCTCTCACAAAGCCTCCAAGGATAAAGTGAGTTGTGTGAACTAATAAAATAACATTGATTAGATACATGTGACGGTGAATTGCCATTCGGTCTACAACCAGTTGGTTTGCTAACCAATTAGTCTATTCCCATATGGTCTACATATTTGATGATTATTAGACCATGTGGATAGTAGACACAATGGGCATTAGAAAAACTGGGAATTAGACCAAATGGAAATTAGTCTAAATGAGTAATAGACCAATGGGTAGTAGAAAAACTGGGAATTAGACCAAATGGAAATTAGTCTAAATGAGTAATAGACCAATGGGTAGTAGAAAAACTGGGAATTAGACCAAATGGAAATTAGTCTAAATGAGTAATAGACCAATGGGTAGTAGAAAAACTGGGAATTAGACCAAATGGAAATTAGTCTAAATGAGTAATAGACCAATGGGTAGTAGAAAAATTGGGAATTAGACCAAATGGAAATTAGTCTAAATGAGTAATAGACCAATGGGTAGTAGAAAAACTGGGAATTAGACCAAATGGAAATTAGTCTAAATGAGTAATAGACCAATGGGTAGTAGAAAAACTGGGAATTAGACCAAATGGAAATTAGTCTAAATGAGAAATAGACCAATGGGTAGTAGAAAAACTGGGAATTAGACCAAATGGAAATTAGTCTAAATGAGTAATAGACCAATGGGTAGTAGAAAAACTGGGAATTAGACCAAATGGAAATTAGTCTAAATGAGAAATAGACCAATGGGTAATAGAAAAACTGGGAATTAGACCAAATGGAAATTAGTCTAAATGAGTAATAGACCAATGGGTAGTAGAAAAACTGGGAATTAGACCAAATGGAAATTAGTCTAAATGAGAAATAGACCAATGGGTAGTAGAAAAACTGGGAATTAGACCAAATGGAAATTAGACTAAATGAGTAATAGACCAATGGGTAGTAGAAAAACTGGGAATTAGACCAAATGGAAATTAGTCTAAATGAGAAATAGACCAATGGGTAGTAGAAAAACTGGGAATTAGACCAAATGGAAATTAGACTAAATGAGTAATAGACCAATGGGTAGTAGAAAAACTGGGAATTAGACCAAATGGAAATTAGTCTAAATGAGAAATAGACCAATGGGTAGTAGAAAAACTGGCTGTAGACCAAACTACAATAAACCCATGTATCTACCTCTCTTGATAATATAAAAGTTTCTCAAATAAATCTACAGAATACAAACTGCAAAAGTTTTGTTTTGATTGATGAATGTGTGAAGCATTGTGTATTTTATCATCCATTTTTCAGTTGTTGTCAGCTTACCAGGAAAGAGTCTTTTGTTGACAAAACTCCACAAATGATCTGTCAGTGTAGATATCAGCAGAAGCTCTGTTGATGATGGCACTTACAGCCTTATGATGTGAATCTGTGTTTCAGTTAAGGTTAAGTCCAGTCATATGTAGGGTACAAGTGTACATGTATCAGGTTCATTGATCTGGGCAAATTATTAGCAAATATGAAAATTTGAAATATTTCATACAAACCTTAACTAGACAGGAAAACTAATCCTTCAATGGAACTCTCAAGCATAGAAGTTTGGCAAATCAAACTCATTTTCTTAGATTAATTTTAGATCAGCGTGACAAGATTGTTTGTTGACTCTAAATCTGCAATTATAAAATTCTGAAGTACCGGTATAAATTTTGTTTGGCAAAAAGCAAAAGAAATGTATACACTCATTGGTGAAATCATATTGGATAGTAAGCTTAGGTAAATTTGAATTTGAATACCATTATTATTTGGGGGGGGGGGAATAAAATGAGATACACAGGAGCAGAAAATGATTTAAAAATATCTTGATATCTTTCAAAGAGCTCTTGAAAATTTGGAAACAAATGTATCTCTGGTATCAAAGCAAAGAAGTCTATATGTATTGCAGTGGGAAAATCTCTTTTTTTTTGTATCTCTCTTTTCTTTAAAGGGATCATTTAACAATGTTAAATCTGAGATACACGGCCCTGCGTGTTATCAGTGTCTGTGACATGGTGTAATATTGAAGCCCTAAAAAAATTGCGCTTCAAAATGACCAAGAAGTGCCTCAAAAAAGTAAAAATCTTTGAGTGACCGGTTTTACCATACTTGTTTTCCCCAATAGACTGTAGTGTTATGAAAACCGTCAGGCGAACGGTTTTCAAAATTTGTAATTCCAATCATAAATATCTTGATAATCAGACAGGCGATCGGCTTGTAAAAGTCATGGGGTTCCTGACTGACCTAAAGGTTTATAATTATCATCGCATCATGAGCAAAATCCAGAATTTTGTTTCAGAATCTGAGACAAAGTTACCGGATCCCTTTAACTATTCCTAAAGTATTTCTGCAGATGAAAGGTATTTTGACACAAAATCAAAATTAGAGTAAGCTAACATGATGAGGCACAAGTTGCATTGTCGTGATTTATATAAGAAGGCATTACAAAGGTACATGTAGGTTGTGTTATAGTAGTAGTAGTATCATCAATATTACAGTGAATATTTACAATGCGCTATGTCTGTCAAAACTGTCACTCCTGGCACCAATGCGAGAATTACAGTATAATTGTGGACATACATCTAGTGATGTATGTCACTAGATACACTATCAATACGAGGGATTTGAAAGAGTGGACTATTAATCAGTTACACTAGGTAAATACAGTTAATAACTAGATTATCAATACCCCTTTTTTCTTTTTTTTGTAACTCAAGAATTAAAGGTGGTCTGGTTGAATTAGCGCCTTTTTTGAATACTTTTAGATGTAAGCTTTAACATGTCACATTTTCACATACTGAAACATTACAAAATTTGGAAAGGGTATGAATAATTCATTTGTAGAATTTATATCTGTTTTCCAAAGTATAACACTTTACATATAAAGAGAAGGTTGAATTTTGGGAAGAGGTGAAAAACAATTTGTGAGCCTTATCATTTTTATTATGCAAGTGTGGAAGAACATTAGAGAAAAAATATTTCCTGAAAAGCATGGCTCTTCAAATGCCTTCTTATTCTAGATATGACAAGTTAACGAACGAGGCCCGCTTTTTATTCCACATGTTTGTTTAGTCCCATATACATTATTCTGTGTACAGTGATTGTTACTTTACCAAGACTGAGCCAAATTTCTTATCATGTTGATGACTCCAGAACCTTGCAGTACACACCAATACTTTTATGATCTGGTCGATTCAACACCGTTTCCTTCACAATGCAATTGCTTGAACAGAACTCAACTTTATCTTAAAGGGATCCAGTAACTTTGTCTTAGAGATTCTGAAACAAAATCCTGGATTTAGCTCATACTGCAATGATAATTATAAATCTTTAGGTCAGTCAGTAACCTCATGACTTTAACAAGCCGATCGCCTGTCTTATTATCAAGATATTTATGATTGGAAATAGAAACCAAATTTTGCGTTTGACAAACAGTTTTCATAACACTACAGTCTATTTGGGAAAACGAGCATGGTAAAACCGGTCACTCAAAGATTTTTACTTTTTTGATGCACTTCTTGATCATTTTGAAGTGCAATTTTTTTTTAGGGCTTCAATATAACACCATATCACAGACACTGATAACACGTAGGGCCGTGCATCTCAGATTTTAAATTGTTAAACGATGCCTTTAAAAGTAAGTTGCAGGCAACTTGCACTTCTTGTTCTTTGCATTTTACACATTGTGGTATTCTAGAACTGTATTTTACATGGGTAAACTAAAAGGCGATGCAAACAATTCATCTCGTTGTGAGTTGGGTTTGAAAAAAAACCTGTTGAATATTTGTCAGGATTCGATTGACATGAATAGGATCATAGAATGGTTATACTATTTCTGCTCACTTTATAACTGATTGCGTGCATCTGCTTCGTTTTTTAGCACCGGCTTAAATATTATTCTTCACCATTTTCTTGTTTTATTTCCTATGGAAGCAACCACTCTCATCAACATAGACTATCAACAGACTATTCAAGGCTTGATGAGAACAAAACAATACATTTAGGAAATTATGTTGTCCACCGTTTCAGTCTCGCAATTGAAAAGTTTGCCCTTGTGAAAAAGGAAAATTAGAAAGGAAAGAAGCACTCAGGGGGAAACAAACCATTTCAGAAAGAGAGAGAGAGAGAGAGAGAGAGAGAGAGAGAGAGAGAAGAGAGACAGACATGTATTACATACAACAACTAAATTATTTATAACCTTACCAAATTTTGTAATTTTGTCAGTATGTGTAGAAATTGATTTTTTCTAATTTATGTTTCTTGAGAATGTGACATAAAAACAAAGACCCTAATTCAACCAATCCAACTTTCATTCTTGAGTTACGAAAAACACAAGAAACCATCAGATTTACAAGGAATATTTATAATTTAGGTGTTCGCTGTACATGTAGGGTGTCAGTTACTGCTTCTTTTTAAATGAATAGATAGTACAGAGAAGTGGATCTTTACATTTTGAATAGATATATGAATGGGACTTTATCATTTCTTTTTGTGCAAATCTGTTTAATAAATACACTTTTGGACATATTGAAAACAATGACTACCGGTACATGTATGTTAAACATGTGAGAAATTGTGAATGGGAATTTATAATTTATTTTTGTGCAAATCTGTTTAATAAATACACTTTTGGACATTTTGAAAACAATGACTACATGTATATTAAATGTGTGAGAAATTGTGGAGAAACAGTACTCCACTATCACGTGCAAGTCACATGACCTTGACGCAAGCGCACTGCACTTGAACCGCCACCGAAAGGGAAACAGAGCTCAGCGTTCAAGGTTCAACCAATCAACCAAATAATTTTATGTCACCCTACATACTCAACGACCAGAAGTGAAAATAGGAAAGTGTAGACGAAAAAAAGGAAAAAATAAAAGAGCCCTGATTAATTCGCCAGCGGAAACGTCATTGGCCATTACTGGATTTCCTAAATGAGTTTGATTGTATAAACAAGACAAGTTGAGATGTCTGTGTCACATGACAAGGTTAGGCCACAAGTCATGTTCACACAACAGCCAAGTTTCAGGAAATACAAGGTATGGAAGTTAGACTTCCTGCACACTATTTCTAAAGCTTCAGCAAACCGACATGTAATTTCCTGTAAATATACACATTGAATGTAACACCAATATCTGTAACTACTTTTTTTTTTTAATAAAAAATAAAAACGCATCAGTACACGACGGGCAGAAAGATGCAGAATGGCTCGGTGGAAGAGCAGTGGTCTTGTTTCCGGGAGATCAAAAGCAAAAGCATTAATCCTCAAAACCAAGTCCCTAGCATTTAAAAATGTTGGTTCTGTGGTTGCTTGGTTATAAATACAAACATACCATGAATTCTTAGCAGAAACCTAGCAACCAAACCAAGTGAAGAAGTTTTTTTTAAAACTTTCTAGGATTTGTCTGTGGCAGTTGTACACTGTAGCTGAGTTAGCATTAGGAAAATACAGTACAAGCTTTTTGCCTTATAGTTAATCATTTATAGCATATAAAGAGTAGGCCCTGTAGTTTATTCCCCCCCCCCCCCCTAAAAAAAAAAAATAAATAAATAAATAGAATAAATAAATAAATAAAAAAAATATAATAATAATAATAATAATAATAATAATAATAAATAAAATTTTAAAAAATTATTTTAAAAAAATATTTAAAAAATGTGTGATTAAACTCTGCTTATCAAATAGAGTTGATCCAAGAGACATATTGAGACTTTCCTCTTAAACACTTTAGTGAGCTTAACTTAGACTGATCTTTCACCAAGTGTTACATGTGTAAGTTTAAATTCATATATTGGAAGCTGACATGCACATCAAAAATATATTCTCTCCTTGTGAATATTCAAAATTCAATGATATATAAGTGCCAGTAAAAGTAATCTTTCAACAACAACATTTTCTGGAAGATTTTCATACTGACTGAGCAATGCTACTCAGGTCTCTTATCTAGAGAATTAAGTTCTGGAAAACCAAAAGCCTGTAGGTGTGGACACAGCTGAAGTTAGATGGGAAACTTGACATTGTTTCTGTCTGGAAATTTGGCCAGCGTCCAAATGTTTTGACAATACAGCTTTATCTAATCAGTTATGGAATTAAGCCGTAAAGCCGTGTGAAATTATGGTCTGCAAAGAGAAAGAACCAAAAACAGCAGGTAGAATAATGTGTTCTCAATGTGTCCAGAAATTGAATTTACAGTTACTTTTTTGCTCTTATTCTTTATTTAGTGTATGGCTGGCACCACCTCATACTATAAAAACTGGTGTAATATGTGTGATGTGTGAAATGATGTGAATACTTCTGGGCAGTATCGTTTTCAAAACACTGTTGTAAAACTAGTCCCTAGTATACACAACACAACAAGCTTTATATTCTATGTGAAAAACAGTTTAAAGTACATGTAATTTTGTAAATCTATAATGGTAGTATAGAGTGCTTTTTTTTTCATAAAAATTATGTTTTTGAAACAGCAGTACGATACTTTACGAGTGCATACAAAGACAAAATAGAGGGTGATAATATGAGATATGACATCACAGCATACATATATGAAGCCTTGTCTTAAAGGTATACAAAGTTTTGGGAAATTTTGAAAATTCATTGGATAGTGATTCTTTACAATTTTGATATATTCGGATGCCCCTTTGGAAGTACTAAAAGCACTAGAAAATTTAGCCCCTAAAACACTTCTGCTTTCAAGAAAAATTGAATATAAAATTTACCCGTGCTCCCGGTAGATTTTGATAAATTTCAATTAGCACCTACGGCCGTGCAATGGTAGCTACGACCATGAAAATCTCAGAATATGTAGATGTAGTATTTAATTTCTAAACGGGAATAGCTAATTGGTCTATTTTAGTCAAGAAACATCGTTTTATAGCTTAATTAATATCTTGACCTTGAGAGGGAGCTATTAGCTTTACAACATAAAAACTTTATTATTTACAATTTCATAACTTTAGACTCGATTTCAACCGCGACAACTATGTAGGATCGCATATGCTTCCAATATGTTCATTTGAACGAAATTCATGTCCCCACACCAAAATTTTATATTACCTTTAACATCAATATTTAGAATAATGAAAGGGACATCTTTTCTGATGGTCAAATATTGACAGTGTCAGTTTTATAGGTCCCTACACTGTGTCGTATTCAGCGCTCAAAAAACACGGGGGCGGTGGGCGATTCGCCCCCGTGAGCTACAAAATCGCTCTCGTCAGGTTGCTCACGGGGGCGATTGCAAAATTAAAAATCGCCCCGGTGGAATTATAAAATAAAGATAATCTTTTCTGTTATAACTTTAACACAATATTGAGTTTCAATTTTCAAACCTTAAACCAATGAAATGGAACTAAGATTAGCGTGCAAGATTTCTCGTTTTATGAGTAGGCCTATTATTACCGATTCAGCTCGCAATGCAGTGCCGCCGTCAGCAGTGGTTATAGGCCTACTGCGCCGTTAGTAGCGGTGCGTGTGCACGCTGCCGCGCCATGTCTGCTGGAGCTGGAGGCGATCGGGCAAGGGCAGAAACATGGTCATGGCCTGGAGAAGTTTTTCGTTGTCAGCAAATAATGAACCTCGACAAGTAAATCAATATTAGGGACTTTTAGATTTGCACGATGAGAACGTGGACTGCAACGTGTGACCTCCTTTTTAAGGCACTGCCAGTGCTTAAAAGGACGTCACATGTGATTGCCAGTGCCTTAAAAGGACGTAACACGTCCAAGTCCCCTAAAAAATTGAGGGGAGGACGTGTCCCCCCCGCCCCCCCCCCCCCCCCCGGGATCGCCGCCCCTGCGTGGAATGATATGGTAACATGGGCAGATCTACGGCGGGGGGGGGGGGGTAGAGGTTTAACCCCCTCCTCCCACCCCCCCCCCCCCCCCCCGGCCCCTTGGGCTGCCAAGTGAAAATGTGATATTAAAGCGGGGGGGGGGGGGGGGGGAGGGGGATTCTGGAGAGGAGGACTACTAATCTATTTTATTTGTTTCAGGGGGCGGGGGGAAGTGAAGCGCCGTTTGAGCATGACTTTCTTTTTAACTCTTACTTTCACCTATCTCAGATAACCCTAAGTTTTTGGTTGCTGCTTTATATGTAGTTGATAATGCATGATTAAAATAAATAAAGAGAGAGAGAGAGAGAGAACCACCATCATTTTGCAATGGTTCAGGGTTCGTGTAATGTAAATTTGAAACCATTTCTTAGCGTCTCAACCCTAAAAAAAATAGCAAAACAATTTTTGAGGAAAAGCATTATACTAAATTAAATAAAGAATAATAGCTTTATATTGGATCATACTAATACTGACACGGGCTAAAGACAATGTGGTATTTGTATAGAGGTATTCCAAAATGACATTCTGATAATCAACATTTGTTCTGGTATCATATGTATATACGCATAATACAACTGATCTTTATGATTTTTTAACGTGACATAGCTTCTTCTCCCTCTGCAAACAAAACAGAAAACAAGGTTATTTAATAAAAGGACCATGCGACAAATAATCATTGTGATTCAAATTGATGCAAGCATTTTTTTTGAATAAGCAATGCTTTTCACCAGAATCTTCTTTGTAAAAAACGACTTTTACAAATCTCAGCCATGCAATTCTGCCACTGTGATGTAAGATCACTTTGAGATTAGGAGAAGTGTATTATGTAATGGGTATTTTAAATTGAATGAAACGTCTCAACTCAATAAGCATGGCTGAGATTTGTAAAAGTTGTTTTTACAAAGAAGATTCGGGTGAATAGCAGTGCTTATTCAAACAAATATTCGCATTAATTTGAATCACAATCATTATTTGTCGCTTAATCCCTTTTAATGACCATGTTTTCTTTTACGTTTGCAAGGGGAGAAGAAGATATGTCACGTTAAAGACATCATAAAGATCAATGTTGTATGCGTATATATTATATACACAGGCCAGTAACAGCTATGTAGCTTGTAAATTTGTAAGAGGGAAAATGCTGATTGAAATGATAATGCTGAAATAGCAAATAATTGAGGAGCATCATAGGTACCAATTCAATGGATATTTGTATACAAAAGAGCCCCCGTCAGTAATAAAAGAGCCCCCGTGAGAAAGCTCACGGGGGCTCTTTTTTCGGGGGAAGAGCCCCCGTGGACAAAAAATTAATTTGAGCCCTGGTCGTATTCACAACAAGCTAAATACATGTGAAAAAAGAAATTTTGCAGTAGAAAGAGAGTTTTCTAACCAATGAATGAATATTTGTCTTTTATCTTCCTCAGATGCCAGTATGCGTGTACTTCCTGAAAGGGGTGTGTAACCGTGACGACTGCCCCTACTCCCATGTCAAAGTCAGCAAGAAGGCAGAGGTGTGTCAGGAATTCCTCCATGGATACTGCCCTCGTGGGGCCAAGGTGAGACAATCCCTGTTCAGTCTTGTGTTTTACAATATATGTTGATTGGTGCATGATCCGATTCAAAGACTTTCTGATAATGTAGGATGATGATGTGTCATATTTTATGAATTACCGGTATCTGTTTGGAGTCCGAATGGACAATAAGTCACGTTAAACACAGAATGAATGCGCTTCTGGAACTGAACAGATGTAGTATTATATTCCCTATTTACACGTATATACATGTATATTTCTTGAATAGGAATAGCCTCCGATCGTTACTTGGTGGTGGTTGGTTTTTGTACCCGACTGCTAAGAAAGCATAAATGCTTGTAAGTAAGCAACCAGACGGCCGACGGCTTTAGGTCCTCTCCGAGGGACCTGGTAATGAGGATTAATGCCTTACCAAAGGGCACTAGCGCATCGACTTGGTTTCAAACCCGGGTCACCGGATTACGAGACCAATGCTCTACCGACTGAGCTATCACGCCTCCTCGTTTAATAAATTTCTAATGATTACAATTTAATGAAAAAGTTGTCAAAGAGAGAATAATCTTTAGCCAATCATACAAATCTAGGTGTGATTGTCATTAATAAAAAAAAGACTGGTCATATCATTTCTAGGGGATTCTGGACTACTGAAGAATATACAAAATATGTACATGTACCTGGCCTTTGTAAAGAGGAAAATTAAATAGTTGATAAATGAATTGAAGTTTATAAATAATCTTTCTTTTTAGTGTAAAAATAAACACACCCTGGATTGTGCGGAATTCAACGAGACTGGGCAATGCAAGCTGGGTAACAAGTGCCCTCTCTGGCATCGAAAGCGCAAGACCAAGAGCGAGGGAAGGAAAGGGGTGAAAAGGAGAGCGAGTGAGGGAGAGAAGGTCCCTTCAAAAAGGTAAATACTGTTTTAGCAATTTATTTCACTTTTACACTTTTACATGGAAAATAACAATAAAATACAACCAAATTTTCCCATGGAGTTCTTTGTAATTGCATTTCTCCTTTGGACATACTAAATATCAAGTTACAATACAACAGTGAAAGACCATATGATGGTTTCCTTCCTTTCGAATGTTTCCGAGTTCCAAAATGACATTAGGTACAATAAAAGATGAAGGGAGAAAACTCTAGACGTATTAAAATGTTGAATAGAACATTTTACTCACGGGAAGAAGAAAAACAAGTGTGTACTCAGATTAAAGTGATTGCCAAAGCTATAGAGATCAACTGTATATAAATATGCAAGTTGAAAGTCTGTTGTGTACTTCTCATCAATAATAGGAGGCAAGTATAGGATTATTGGATGTAAGTTGTATTGACCAGTGTGTGAAGTCATGAGTAGGATTTTTTTAATTCAATTTACACTCAAATTTCATGATGTGAAAATGCATATGTGTATTGGTTTACTGAACCAATCTCCAAGATTTACAACTTTTTACATACAATGTGTTTCCCACTTTCCCTACTTACTTCCAGTGACCAGTTCATGAAACTTGCATTTGGTTTTGTCCCTTATTTCACCCCAGGGCAAAACCCTCTTGGGAAACGACGAAAAATTCCCAGTGATGTCCACTCAAATAAGACGGGGGATTGAGTGAGAGGGGGGAGGGGACGGGATGGGGTATATGTCCTTTTCTTTTACAGTATTGTTGTGGATACTATGCCTAATTTTGCTTTTATTGATAACTACCGTGTTTACCACTAGGTGTTATTATGTTATTGTTCCAAATAGATTTTTTTCTTTTTGTTATATCAGTGCTCTGATCAGTATTCCGTAAATTATTATTGGTAGAAATAGTAGTAGTAGTAGTAGTAGTAGTAGTAGTAGTAGTAGTAGTAGTAGACTAAGTAGTATAAGTAGAAGTAGTAGTAGCAGCAGTAGCAGTAGCAGTAGTAGTAGCAGCAGTATCAGTAGTAGCAGTAGTATTAGAAAAGAGCAGTAGAGATAGTAGAAGTAATAGTAGTAGAAGTAGAAGTAGAAGCAGAATCAGAAGCAGTACGTAGCAGAAGCAGTAGTACAACAGCAGTAGAAGTAGCAGTCACAGAAATAGTAGTAGTAGTAGTAGCAGTAGCAGTACTAGTATATCTGTAAAGTACTTAACAACCTCAAAATATAACTTTACACTAGGCCTGTATCCCATGCTTGATTTGCCACTAGTAGATTACATTTTGTGGGTAAATATGAATATTCCATCTTTGATAATTTGCAAATATGCAACGACACAGGTGCAGAAACATCAGGCCCCAATACCACAGTAATGACATTAGCCATTCATGGTACATCAATAAAAGAAAGAAAAGTCTCTGAAATGATCATGAATCTACTGTAAACCTTCGTGATTTGTTTTAATCAAGTTGGATTGCTTTACAGCGTGTGGGTGACAAATTGAAATGCATCATGTTTCGTCAATTGGAGAACCAGTCCCCAATTAAGTCAATTTAACCAGGAGACAGATAGTCCCAAATGGGGCACATTAGAGGTCCTCTTTCTGTGTCACAATAGCCTTGGGTTTAAGCTGAAGTTGTTATTTATTTCACCATTTACACTTGAAACACAACTATTGCATCATGATTCTGTTTTCAATATACCTAATACGTGTGTAATTGTATGGTCTTGTAATTCTACTACAGTTGGGTAATCATTTATACAATAAAAGGAAACAAAATAATTTAGTTAGAAAATTCTTTGAAACTGTGGTTATATCTGAATCTGCCAACATCAAGCTTCTCCCACTTTTGTCAGTCATATTGCAAAGGAAACCGTGCTATACACACATTTGCAGCTAGAATGTATATAATTAACCTTGAAGTCCACCTTGATATTAAGTTGGTTTTAACTGAAGCAGAAAAATGACAGGAACATATGTCAGTGAAAGTTTGAGAAACAATAATAATAATAATCTTTTAAAGTCCACTCCAAATTGTATTAAACTAAAAATGGAAATTCTCTTTGCCCAATTGATCGTGAGTCCGGCAGCCACTGCATGAGCAGCGCCAGATCGACGTTGTGATTAAAAATAAGAAAGTAATGATTTTTTTCAATCGGGATCAGTCAAACACAAATTTGCAACACTGTGATGTACATTTGTACTTTTCATTAACTTTCATTTTCTCTGTTGTTGATGACAGGATAGATATTTTCCATACAGAGGATGTATATAGAAACATATTCGCAATAATCTTATTTAGGGTGCATGTACAATTGAATATTAAATTAAAAATAAAAATTTCCTCTTCATTTTATGAGTTAACGGGTGAAGGATATGAAGAAAATAATGGCTGGTGCTCGTGAAACCAAAGAGATACCAGCTCTCTCTTTGGTAAAACCTAGCTCACAGAATCCATCTTGTGCGAGCCCACACTGGTGCATTGACTAGTCTTTTCACAAGTCACATTAATATTTATTGAGAGTGCATTTAAACTGGTAATATCTCTTTAAAGAAAGTACTATTTGTAGCTCATAATTTGAATTTAGTATACATGGAACCCCGATCACACGGAGCATAATATTTTATTTTTGTGATTGGTGCATTTACAATAAGAATACAACACACTGATTAAACCTACATCAAGAATAAATGAGGATATTGATATTTATATTGCACAAATTAGTTGTATACATGCACAAGTACTATACTGGTACTTTCTAACATGGTGGCAGTAAAAAGTTCTGTTCCCATTCTCCACCAGCCCTGTTTCCAAGGACGTTTGGAGTCAGGGTTGGAATGCAGCTATTGTTTGATGAATGACTTCATCCCAGATAACTGCCAGCTGATCGGCTGTGTATAGCTTTCACAGGTGGTCGTTAATGGCTAATTCTATTCCTGGTATATGGGGCTAGAAGAACTTCCATGCAGGCTGGCCTAGACCCCAGATACACTTGTTAAATAGGAGACCTTTCACACGAGAGGAAACGCAGTATCAAGAAATGTACTAAAAAGAATTAAGTACAATAATTTTTGGGCCTATAGCTAAAGGAGCATACACATAGGATGAGAACATTCTAAAATAGAACATTGTATACAGAAACTAGTTTAAAGCGCCACTGTAGTACTTATAACTGCTTGCCTGTTGGTACCCATGATCCTCTTTTTCTTATGTTAATTGAGAGCTGATTTGATGAGATAAATACCTGTCAGTTACCTTGCAGGGAGGTCTAATCCCCCCTGGCCAAACTAGTGCAGACAGGCTTTAAGGGATGTGCACAGTTTAGTTTACACAAAGTTCAGTGCTTGCTATGAAGCACAGGAAAGCCGGTGAGGGAAAATCGATGTTTTGGGCTCGCAGTGAAAATGCAGCTACTGTAGGCCCTGCACAATTACAGTTACCCTAATTCTTTTTTACACAGCGATGGACCTTGCTTCCTCATCAAGTCCTTTGTTAAAAAGATGGTCAAACTACCCATTCACTAAACAATGTCATGCTTCAGAATGTTCTGAAAAGAAAAAGTTAATTAGTCATTGTCTGGCCATGATGTTATGGTGATACAAATTGTGCATGATTTTGCTTATCTGAATGAAGGGTTTGGCAATTTTCTTCAATTGAAGTGCACTCTTCTCTATTTATAGTGATTGAGTGAAGAGACACCAGCTACCGACTTGATGGAGAATCAAGGTCCATAGTAGTCCAGAATCTGGCCTATTTAATTTTGATCCCCACCACACCAACGCAATAGGCCTGTCTTCACTAGCTCGAGATTGCCAAATGTCCCGCTATTTGAACTATCCCGATCGCAAACTATCCAGCTAATTTGCGTCTTCATCAGCCCGAAGTTGCAATTAGCGAGATATTTGGTCGGGATTGTCTTCTCAAGATATCTTGGGATAGTTTGCAAAATATCCAGCTATTTGTCCGCACCGTCTTCACCAAACCGAAGACTCGCACTATGCGCCAACGCTGAGCAAAATATCTTGAGCTAATTTCTCCAGGTCGAGTTTCAAGTTTCAAGGTTGAATCTCGAGCTGATGAAGACCCGATTTGTAACTTCAGGATTATTTCCCAAATCAGAAATAGCGGGCTATTTGGCAATCTCGAGATGATGAAGACGTGCCTAATGCTGCTTCTGGCCGAAGATGGCGTGATCCTTGAATTGGAACGCCCAGTGAAAAAATAGGCCGGGCCGGTGAGCGTATAAATGAGTTTATTGATAACGCCATCTTTGGCGGTGTGAATCGATTGTAGGGAATATCATATAAAAAAACTGGCCAGATTCTGGACTGGGTCCATAGCTGTTTAAAAAGAGTTTGCATAACTGTACAACAAAATAATCTTTGAACATATATTTTCAATTTGGAATAAAATTAATTATTCCATTTTATACAACACCTACATTACGTGGATCCTTGTCATTTGATTGGGGGATTGTTGGTCACATGATATTCATAGATGATACACATAGATGTTATATTGCACGGGCGTGCATTTTTGGTTATATGCGCCATGGATTTTTGGTTATATGCAGACTGCGTACCTCTCTGCCGTGCCCGTATCCCTACGTGTATCTGACGCAAAGGCAATCTGAATGTAATCGAGAAGGCTTGACTCCAACTTTAATTTATCTTTAATATAAGGAGTAAAGCATAATTTGTTGATTAACGTTCTATTAGATCTTCTTCGATGTTGTATAAAACAAATAATTAATGTTTTTCATTCGTTCAATAGTGTTGAAAGATTAACGTTAATTCTATTCAACTCGGCTGAAGCCTCATTGAATAGAATGTTAATCTTTCAACTCAAGAAAATATTCACACTATTGAACTCATAACCATTCATTATTTGTATAATATTTTATGTTCTATCTTACTTCTGTTCCTTTGTTTATAATACAGGTGCTTTTATGTGATTTCTTTTTTGTGTGTTTTTGTTTCTCAAGCACACTGTGAGCATTTGATTTCA